AGCTGGGGAACTTTTCGCCCAGTGCCGAGTCTCTAGGTCACTACTGCGGAACCTTCCACGTTACTCTGGAGTAGTGTGCGTTCCTTGCCTCTAAGGCAGATAGCCGACTTTATTCCCACGAGCGGAACAGCTATACCAGTACAAATTGTCTAGCTCTTCTATGACTGCCTTATTCACTGCCAAAATGCTCCCAATATGCTCACATCTGAACGAGACTCTCACTTTCAGTATGACTCTAGCAGTATGTCTGCACCCGTTTCAGAATTAGGGGAGAGCTGCCATATATATATTTATCTACCCCAGCAGAACGGGCAAGCCAAACGTGAAATTCACGGCTTGGCAGATGATCTGTCTCTGCACGGGACTAGGGCGAGGGAAAGTGACAACTTTCGTTCCTAAACTGGCACACAACGCGACAAGCCACTTCCACCGAGCCAATCACCTCAGCAGTGGTGGTCGGAAATAACTTACTGAAGGCGACCAATCTCGGCATTATCGTCATTTCCAGCGGGCACGAGATCGCGCGCGGAGCCATGTGGTGTGTGCTGATTCGTAGCGTAAGGCATATAAGGACTCAAATCGGCGCAACACTGAGTACAAGGTACTACGTCTCAATAGCGCGCACGAACTGACTGGCAACGAAGGCTTCAAATAAAAGCCGCGTAACCGCGATCTATTTTCGTGCATAAGCCTTATTGGCAAAGCTGTCCACAATTTGGCCCTGGCTCACATTTTTTCTATCCACGGTACCTTCAAAGTATCCCCACCAGCGCTTAGGGCGACGGTCCGTTCACATCACTGACTGTCAAACAGTACTGCGAGTTTGAAGGCGCGCTCTATGTAAAAGCTAGTGGTACTACAGCTCACGTTCTACCTTTTGCGCATAACATGCTCAGCTAGTCGCGCTAAACTTGAAGCCAGGTCCCCCTTGGCATTCACTACCGTCAACCCTTCGGTACTCACTTCTTTACAGCGCACAGTTTCACCACGTCACCGCGCACCAAGTTGCTCGCTTACTGTTTAGGCACTCTCCTGTCACATCCGGCCCCGTCAAGTGTCTGACTGCGGCAGAACGGAGGGGAGAGGGATAGTATAACCGTACGTGTGGGTGCTCATTTTGGAGCTTACAAACGCAAGTGTGGGGTCCAAACAAGCAACGCCACAAGCTCCTGAACTACCGTATTCGCATGTGTTTGGAAGAGGGAGCTCGTGGACTCAGTAGTGGTTCATTTAGTCCAGAAAACTTTGAAGATGTTTATGTGCACACTCGGGAATTAAGAGGGATGAAATTACCACCACGCCAAATCAAGCGCAAATAAAATTGAACAGGCATACTTGTACACACAAAGAAATAGACAGGCTGATAGTGATGAACGATTTCCGCAGCACAAAGCTAACTAATACTTATGCAGCAAAACAGGAATAGTGGGAAAAAGAACCCTGCGTGTAATGCACAGCAGCTACTGCTCCGATTACGCTGCTAACTGCCCTCCTCGATTAGGGGCCTACGATAACCGACTACCTACGGCGCATTTCCTTGAAACAGTAGCCCAAATATCACGAAATACATTTATTCATAGTTTTTCAAAATCTGTTCTCCTCAAAATCCCCTCCACTCGAGGTTCTCGCCTCCTAGGCCCTGTGGGGAGGAGGCCTGCATCAGTGCCGGCGCTATCGCCAGCCCCAATGTCGGGTTATTTTCAGGCGCGTGCAGTGTATACACGCTAATTCGCCGACAATTGGGCTTACTTCGATCCTACTAAGAGGATCCTGTCCTCGTACCGTGTTGTGACCTCTTGTACGTCGCCGGCTAGCTACCTTCTATAGGTCACCAGCAAGCCCTATTGTAATGCCTGTGCACTACACTGCGCATGCATGCTGCGGGAACTGTAAAGCTGGCAGTTCTATTCGAGTGCATCTAGCAATCCTTACAGGAGCTTCAATAGAACAGTTACGACGGTCATGCAAGATATTAGACGCGCACACAAGGACAGTTGGCTAGTGAGAACAACACAGTTGCGAAGTCGGGCTGGATCAACTAAAGCGGTTGCCTGGCCACAAAGTCACTCCTTGCTACTAGGTCAGTACGCCTTGACAATGTCCGCAGAACATGCATTTTAATGTGTGTAACCGTTATTTATGATGCTCAATTCATCTACTTGGCGTTAGTTCCGTGAGCAATTGCTCTGTTGAACTACAGCGGGCAGCGTTATTACAGTGGCGCCGTATATCTGATGCTCGATTTGTCTGTTTGGAGTTAGTTCCGTGCGGAGTTTCATTCCCTGACTGCAGCTACTACTTTGCAACAGTGCACAAAAGAGCTTTCCCCTAGGCGCTAGGTAGGCTAGCAACTTCACCACTAGGATAATTCGATATGTAAATGTCACCGTTAGGCGTGGCTTTGCACCTCAGGATGTTCCTTTTTCTTTCTTGTTGATGTTTGGAAATTCATGAAGCTTTCGCTCGTTGATCGCCGGTGCAAACTTATCCGGTGAGCACTCTATGAGTGTAATGCCGATTTGGAGGCGAAAATGCCCCCTGGTGAATTATCGTTCTCTCAGACATTTAAGGCGCCTTAGCGCGGATTGCTTACTGTATTTGTCAGCTATGCAGCGAATGTGAAATTTCACAGATGCCTTCTTGCTCGTAGTCCACCATGCCCAGCTTGGTGCCTATGTAGCTCACTAGTGCCGGCTACCAACACTGTATTGTACCTCACACAGCTAATAAAGTGTCAAAATAGCCCAAGTAAAGCGGTCCAAGATGCATAAAGGATGCATAAAGGGGATCGAAGTAGGACTGAAACCTTTCCAGAACACTTGATTCATCAGTGTACACAAAAGCGTCTAGGCTGCCGGAGATCCGCCAGCGGCACCCTCTGCTTGTTTGAAGAACTCGACAAACATACCCACCCTCACAATTACGTCTTTTCACACTCACTGGGTACTGTATATTTTCTGAGTGAATACACTTCAATTTGCATGGCCAGTTTCTTCCTCAGAAGTAGTGCGAAGTACTGTAAGGAAACCTATGTGGTCTTCATGAACTGTAGGAAATTCGTGGGCAGGCAATGTGATAGAATCTGCCACGCTAAAATTCTACTCAAAGTCGATATTGCGTTTTATGCTTATCAAACGCGAGAAGGAAAGTTGTATCCTCCTGGATGCAGTTTGCAAGGAGGCGCATCATATCCGTGATCTGACGTGCTTCGTCTCTGTCAGCTCCTCCACAGCTATGCACTAAAACCAGAAATGCTTGTCCCTTCCTCAAATTACTCTACTTCTACTTGAAATTAAGTTCTAGATTTGCCTACTGAATAGAGACTGCCTCCGCGAAACATTCGCTGCTTTCCTCACAATTTACTTTCCATTATTTTGTCGTTGCCGGAGCCATTCACATAGCGTAGTTCCTGCATATTCTTAACTGTCTTGAAATCAATGGTATCCAGTAAGTGTTGCCCGTGTTCCCTGGGACACCTTTCACGGCCGCACGTAACATACTTTTCATATATGGGTGTAGCGAGCTACAGAAATTGCTGCTTAACAGCCACAAAGTCAGCTGACTTGGTAATAAAGAAGGCCTACACAGCGATATGGTGCTAAAGTGCGTCGAAGACAGATGGGCCGCAGCCCACGACCCTGAAGCGACCACGCCCAGAAAGGTCAAGATACTCTGCTCCCGGGTATCGTCAGTTTACTCTGGGTAAACTGTGGTGGACTCCTGGGTTTGTCTGTGTGTGCAAAGGACGGATATCTTGAAGAGCAGGAGGAACCCAGCTTAAGAATGCCAGGCAACGCTGCAGACGGTTGGCTCCAGCTGTCCGTGTGCACGCTGAGGTTGGCGTCTGTGTTTGAGTGTGTGTGCAAAAGACGGAGAGCTCAGAAAGAAGGGTGAACAGAGCTAGTTGAATTGTGTTGGAGGTGGCAGCAGCCCAGGCTCGTCACGCTGAACAACGGCGTAGCCCTGCTGACAAGCCAAGAAGGGTAGCTTGCATGCTTACTATTGCTGTTGGCTCTACAAATTTCTTTACACCGGCAAGAGCACCTGGTAGGAACGAAGGGATCATCATAAACTGGCAATTGTCCACTATATTAGCTGCCAAATATAGTAAGTGATCTGAACGATCACTTACTAGATGAGTTCTACTACACTGCAGCGTTAGTGATAGGACCTGACTGCGTCCTAACATTGTGAATGAACTGTCGCCAAAACATAAAATAGAAAGTTGACCGCTTTCAATGTAACGAAACAATAGTGTGACTTACAGGAGACTCCTGAACTGCGCAGGCAGCCGACGCCAGCCCCATGAATTGTTTCCGTTGCCTTGTGGAAGTTTTGCAGCACACAGCCTTATATCGGCATTATATTCGCTTAACTCTGCGCAGTCAGGGGTTCTGGCAACGTTGTCGGACTCTTAGACGAGGGCATAAGCATCCTACAGTAGCCAGTACCGCAGCAGGGAAGTTGACTGCACCACTGGAACGCCCACGGCCAACTCTTGCCCCCACATACTTTCACACTCATTACTTCAAGTGGAATATGCATCGCCCATATATTGGAAAAGCGCGGCAGAGAAAAACGTAGTTCACCCTGGCCTCGGACGCCTCTGCACATTCCCCTGTAGATCCACTTGCAACGTGACTCTGTTCACCTGTCCTATTCCGATTTTTAGTTAGATCCGGAAAAGCCATTGTACTAATTTTGCTTCTTACCTGGGTCCCTACCTCAATAGACCAACCCCACGCGAAATCGTTTCATACATTTTCACGAATCTGGGCCATAAGTGCAACTGAATTCTCCGGGCTACATTTGCGTTGTAGCACAAATTTTACATTAATTCCCGCGAATAAAACAGCAGCTAATTTTCCTGATTCTAGCATCGCGAAGTATCCAGGAGGTTCTCGAGGTATGGTACATAGCAGGAAAAGCGCACACTTCTTGGGATAGACAAGGAATACATCCATCTGCAAGCAAGCCCAGCTGCGTTGATTAACTTGAAGATGCCCAAAGACGCTGAATCCCAGACAGAAGGGGGCCTACGGCCCAAGGTCCTATCAATGAGTGCCGAAGTTCGGGCGGACAATCCGTATTCTCGCTTAATGGCGTTGCAAAGGTAAGCTCTAAGCTGCATTATGAGAGGGCTTGGCAGGGAGTTTTTGCTATTTCTTCCAGCAATAGTGACCCGGTATCAGAAGCCCCCTACCTTAACTGCTGTTGTATTGTCCTTTTGTTACATGTCTGCGGCTGTATTGTCCTTTCGCTACATGTCTGTGCTCCATCTCTCCAGGATGGGCGTGGTACGCGACTACCGAGCAATTACTAAGAAGGCTGTGCTGCTGGTGGGTGTAGGAGGAGTGGGCTCTGTAGCGGCTGAAATGCTTGTTCGTTGCGGGGTCGGTAAGATCATCCTTTTCGATTTCGACTCTGTCGAATTGTCAAACATGAATCGCCTCTTCTTCACGCCCAAGGACGTGGGAATGACCAAAGTAGAGGTAAACGCCCACAGTAGACACGTCTAATCGTCTAGTCAGAGCGTCTGTGGAACTGCCCATTCCTTGTAGGAGCTGTAGGCTGCGTAGATTATCGACATGATACTGATTTGTGTATTGTACCGCGCGCCTCAAGGCTGCCCGACGGACTCTTTCCTTCATTAATCCTGACGTGGAAATGGAGACTCACAATGCAAACATCTGCGAAGAGTTCGATCTTTTCTTGTCCCGCATTATGAATGGCAAGGATTCAATGGTACATCGCGACCAGGAAACAGGGCAGACACATTCTCAACGCCGCCGACTAAATTGCTTGGGGAAATATCCAGTTGACCTCGTTCTGAGTTGTGTTGACAACTATGCAGCCCGCATCACCATTAGCCAAGCATGCAACGAGGCTGGTGCGTCAGACGAAGCGTGTTGAATCTACTCCCATGAATTTACTTTGTGCTCACGTGTTTCTTTGTAATTGCAGCAGACGCAGAACTAGATATGACGTGATGCGCTCCTGCATGACAATTCTGTTGGTGGGAGTGGTAGGAAAGATTCAGAACAACAGACAACAGCTAATGGGCTTTCCAATACTTCATTAAAGCTGTCTTTATTTCCTGATCAAATGTGTGCGTTGTGTGTAAACAGTAGCGAATTCTTGAGATATGTCCACGGACGTTTTAGTAAAGTTCTTGCGTGACCTCTTTGTGCCGTTGCTAGCCCCTGCGTGCGCCAATCATTGTGCGTTCCCTCGCATGCCGTTCAGGAGTACCATGGTTTAACAGTGGGGTCAGCGAGAACGCCACCAGCGGGCAAGTGCAGCTGTGCATTCCTGGAATTCTCGCGTGCTTCCAGGTCGGTAGGCATTGTGTTTTCAGTGACATCTGGTATACTTGCTTGTCGTGTTACAATTTGTTGGATTTATCTGCAATGAAGTACTGACAAGAACGTGGTTTAGAGCCTTTTATGCGCAGTGCGCGCCGCCATACGTTGTCGCCACAAAGGAGGATGAGAATGCAATCAAGCGTGAGGGCGTCTGTGCTGCATCGCTCCCAACTACCATGGGTGTAACAGCCGGTAAGTTCAGTAAGTGGGCGGGGAAGCAGTATTGATCCCGCACGCCTACATGCTTTGAAGGCACAGGTGCTAAATACTGTGTTATGTTACGTACAATTTGGTCTCTGCGTGCACTAGAAGATTCATGCTCGACGGTGTATGCTTTCGCTGCTAATACAGGCATTCTAGTTCAGAATGTCCTCAAGTTTCTACTTGGTTTCGGTCGACCGTCCACCTTTCTTGGTTGGGAGTCGCTGGAAGATTACTTTACCACTTTACGCCTGCGGCCGAATGACCAGTGTGCGGATGCATGGTGCTGCACTAGACAGGTCCGTGCAGAGTTAGGGGAGAACATAACCATTGGCAAATGCATTTCTTCATTTCGACTTAAGTAAATTGACTTGTTATGTCCTCTACAGTAAAATATTGAGGATACTTTGGCCCGACCCCAGCTTCACGGGGTGGTAATGGATATGCTTTTTTTATGTTTACGACGCAGAAAGAAGTGCAAGAACGGGGCCTCAATCTGGAAGACTACATCCCTAGAGCACAGGAGGAAAGGAAAGCAGATGGGCCTCTCCATAAGGATAACCCTTTCGGCATATGTCTGGTGGACGATGGGGATCTAGAGGATAAACATCAAACGCCAGGAACAGGTCCCGAGGCCATGAAGAATAGGCCACCTGTTTGCGCAGCATCTGTAGACGACTTAGCTGCAAAGCTGAAGTCTCTTCAGGCCTGAGTCGGGCTAGCCGTGTGAACTGGTGGCACTGTCAAAAGTGCAAAAGTGCCAGACTGAGTACTAGACTGGGGAGCAGTCCACATGGGTGTCCCGAATGGTGGCAATCTCTTTCAAAATTCTACGTGGAAACTTGCATCGGTGCGCAGCTCAAAGTTTGTTAAGCTTGTAATCAGCCGTTGGGTCCCGCAGTCGAATGGCCTCGAACTGCGAACAACACTTAAAGACCTTCAGCGACAGCTCCCTCACCAACATAATTAGGAAGCACACTTCAGGGATAATACGAGAGCTGTGCTACCTTATTTTTACAAACTGACAAGTACGTGGCACCACCCCCATCTAGTTTCATTGCGTCGGTGTTCTGCTTCCACTGATTCCCCAAAACGCCAACAATCTAGTTGCGTGACAAGCCTGGGCATTCCGTCGTTACGTAACTCCACACGGCTGCTATGTAGTCAACACTACCTAGAGAGTTCACTCATCCTTCACAACCGCAAGGATGTCTTCTCCTCTAAAGACAAACAACTCTTCGTCATCAACTTCAACCTTCATACCGCCGAACTCGGGCACCATCACCGTCTGCCCAACCTGCAGCTTCGCCCAGTCTTCACTCACTGCAGCATTTCCTGTGCCCTTGGGTGGCGAGACCGCAACGACTTTCGCCATGTGGCAGCCAGATTTTGGGGAAGCACTTGCCGGGATATAGATGCCGCCCTTGCTAACCGTCGCTGGTTGCACCTTCTGCACAACACAGCGTCCGAAGAGGGGCATCAGCCGTGCTGCTAGTCCTGACTGAAGAGCAAGTCACAACCACACACAGCAGCGACGCATGGTCAAGAAAACTTCGTTCTTGACTGCAGAGCGCGGGTGTGCGCGTACTGAGACACTGCCCACAGTGTGGGCTGTCTGCGAGGGGATGTTACGTCCGCTTGTAGGACACACAAAAAAATGCGTATTGTGTCCCGTAATGTAGACCAGAAAAAGGTTTTTGGTCTCTGGGAGAACTATCACGTTCACGGTCGTGATCTTGTGGGGCAAGTCTTAGTGTGCGAAGCCAGCTCTCGCTGACACTTGAAAAGAAAAAGCCGCGGCGCGAGAAATGCTACAGAATGGTGCAAACAGAATTTCTACTGCGGCCTGAATACAGTCGTTTGACACTAAGGGGAACGGCCCCGTTATTTTCAGCGCCTTCAAAAAGCGCAGCGGAACCTACCATTTTGGCGGGGACAGCAGTCAAGAAGCGCAAGAACAGGTATGAAGAAGAAAGGTACCAGCTTGCGTTATTACTTGAGGTGCTCAGAAGATTAGTTAAATATGGTGCGTCCCTGGAAGACCCCAAGATTCCTTGCCTGTATAGGGGCTGCCGCACAGCCCTAAAGGGCGAACAGCCACTGCAGGCCCCATCCTGTAACAAACATTCGCATTAAGACCAACCACAAGATTTGGTTAAAAAGGAATTAGGATTTTCCCGCTATTTCGCGTCACGGGCTTATCGTTTTACCGCGATTTGTGCGCTGTTGGCGTGGGGCACGAGGCCTCTGTCAGAGTTCCAGTCACCAAATCTGGACTGTCCATAGCTGTATTTTATCTTTCTCCAGTACTTTCAGACGCCATTCCCTTAAGTTGTACAGGTTTCTTCATTTTACTGGAGGGACAGGACGGGGAAGGCCGACGCTGGCAACCACGCCGGCCGTGACGGTGTACTGCAGATGCGCAGTCTGTGAATGCAGGGGCCTTTCCTTTGCTCTGTGCGGCAGAAGTAATACGCTCGCGGGTTTTATAGCGTGTTTGGGGCTTTGAAGCCCGAAGGTAACCCCTTCGTCCCCAATATTTGCTTAAGCCTGCTCTGCCTGTGGGTATAGACGCTGAGCACCGCTTGGTCCGCTGCCAAGTCTCCTCTGCCAAAAATTTGCCTCCGATATCCCCATAAGCATGGATCTGCATCTACCATCTACAGTTTCGCGTTTTCTCAACGGCAGATTAAGGACAAAAACGTGGCTTGCGTAGCACAATTTACGAACGGCTCAAGGTTAGCCTTCGATGTCCTTCTCGCCCCGCAGAGGCACGTAGATAACAGGATCTGATCAACAGTTTAGGGTCGGGAGGAGCCTGTTGCAACTTCAGGGGCATCGAGGAATTATCCTGCCGCCGGATGGAGGAAAGCGGGGAGCCCCATACGGAGGCTTCCGCGGATCGTGGGTCATGGATGAAGCGTCGCTTACGGCAGCAACGGGCCCATCAAGAAGATTCACAACACGTTCACAACGTAGCAGATGAGCGTGCAAGTAAGGGTACACTTCATTCCTCCTCCTTGTGTGCACACAGCGTTTCCCATGCGCCGGGAAAAAGAGCAACCAAGCAGGAACAGTTTGTCGTCAACACAACTTATGCAGTGTACTAGACCCTCCGAGCAAGCACACACCTTAACCACTAAACGGGTTTTCACAGGGAAGCAATAAAATTATTTTGTATTGGGAGCGACCAGGTTGGGAGGCTTATCGCATCGTACCATTCTGAAAATATAAATTCGAAGATAAATGCGAAACCTAGGTCACATTGCATCTTCTTTGCTTCTGTTTGGCATGAGCTACTTTGGAGCAATTCTTCCTATCATTTAATCATTATCTTAATGCTGTCTGCAGAGGCTCTTTTGGAATACCGGGCTCGGTGCACTTCCGCGCGTTTCTGGATCCAGAGCGAGCTGCTAGATCTGCGTGTTGGCGGTTTTCCCCATTCAAACGGAGCCGCATGCAGTGACAATTTTCAGTCAAACTCCCAAACAGGGGCCGCTACTTCTCATGGAGAAAACTCCTCATGCTTAAATCCAGGAGTGGTTGGAGACCTTCCCGGCCTCATTCGGCAGTACCTCACCTGTCCCTTGCTTTCTAAGCTATTACAGCAAGACCCTATTCTAAGCGGCAAATTAGCCACTCTGGATCGCGTGCTGTGGCAGCGACGATCGAAACACGAGACGCATACTCCTGGTTGGATGAGCCATGAACCCCTCTGTCCGGAATGCTGTTCCTTTGGAGTGCCCCACGGGCCCTCAGAGGCCCCCAGTGCAGTTGCTGTGCCTGTGGCACCTGGGGGCGTGAGCAATCACGGCACCTCACGAACGAGTACAATGGATTCTGTTGTAGGGAATGAGGGTTCGGCTGCTGCTGTTCGGCCAAAGAGGGCAGTAGAAGACGAAAGCAGGCCCGTCACCGCATGGGTATCGTGCCAGCAATGCATGGAGCACTTTGCCTACATTGTCGCTTCCCTTCTTGTTTTCCTGAAACCGTCGGAGCTCAGGGACCTTGCCGTTGAGAGGCAAGAGTCGCAGTGTTGTGGCTTCATCTTCTGCGGGAGAAAAAACATCCCGACTCCGGAGAAGTGAGCCGCGCCCCTTATAGCGCTTATTTATTAATATTTCCCCTCATTTGCTTCTGTATGTTCTCGTTACAGCCAGAGCACATATGCTTCGAGAGTGCACTTCTATTTGCGCATGCGTGTTTTTTCCAGGCGGCGCGCAGCGCTGTGGCGATGGACTCTAGATTTCGGGGGTAGCAAGGCGCTGTCAGAGGAGGAGCTTGTTCAATTCTGTTGCAGCCGCTGTTGTAACCGCCAGCAGCAGCTGCTGCGCCTCCTGGACGAAGAGCCAATGTACACCCGCCCGGGAATCAAGGAGTGGATTGGTGACGCTTTGCAGCGAAAGGCAGCGTACCGTCCCCATCCACACGGCTTGCCAGAGGGAGCGCCTAAGACAGAAGCTTCCTCACGTGTGCAAGAGAAGCAACCAGGAGAATCCGGGTCTCCTGATTCTGCTTCAGTTTTAGAAATATCAGAAAGGAAGGAAGTGAGGCCGGCTTTGGAAATGAGCGAGTTACTGAATGATAGGGCAGAGAGACTAATGGAACCTATAGTGGAGAAGCGGGTGCCCTGTGTTTCCTTCTCTACTGAGTCGTCTAGCGCGGAGTTCACTAAGCTCGAGGACAGAGAAGAGGCTGATGGAACTAAAGTGCCTGTAACTGTTGAGGACGATAGCAGTGCAGACGAGGCGCCAACCAGAGGCACTAAAAATCAAGACAGCCAAAGCTTTTGCTTAGTAGAGGGGAGGAGTAGCCTGGGTCGGCAGGCTGCGGTTCCCTTAACTGACAAACAAGGCGGGGCCGTCGGCAGCAGTAGTATCCTCTTGCTGGACTACAACTCCGCTTCAGGCACTGGCGAACCCGCCAGGGCGGTTGTTCCAACAGCCAACACCACAGCGCTCCAGCAGTCTCAGGTGGCGTGTGAAGCGGTGCCCGCGAAAGGGGAGTCGCCAGCCGCTCCTGAGAAGGCTGCGGCATCATCTCCAATCCGAAAGTTTCTTCAATGCCCGAATAAAGCTGAGGGGACTCCAGCAGAAGAAAAGCAGCAGCAAGAAGAACGTGGAGAGCCAAGCCTCCCCCACGCTGCAGGGCTAAACTCTCAAACAGAACCACCAGTCAAGTCGCGTGGATCCCGCGTTCGTTTTGCAGATGATGATGAGGAAGACGGTGCAGACGGGGATGGAGATGGGGACGCGGGGGCGTCTGTTTTCAAACATTTCTTCAACCTGCATGACGATGATGATGGACCGGGGTTCTATAATCGCTTTGACCGTCAGGCAGTAACAGGTAGTACACATGCTCCAGGAAGCCAGCTGCGAAACGGTACTGTAGAGCTAAGGAGCATTCTCAAGCCTTCTACCGAACCTGTTGACCCATCCCCGCCACCTGCCAGTTCCACTACTGAGGCTCAGGTTGGCTACATGCGGCTCTCGGATGTGGTCATTGCATTTGATCTTTTGTCTTCTTGTTGCACGGACGCGTCTGCCAAATTCCTTGCTGGTTACCACCGAAGATACTGCACTTGCTTGTGCGAGGGAGCAACTCCAGCGTCCGGTGAGACCAGCTTTCGATGTTCTGAGGGCGGCGAGTCACCTAAGCGAGAGATGGCTGCAGAGGAGGATGAGTCGAGAAGCTTTCATTTGAGGAAGGCCAGTGAAGCGGACGAGTCAGATAATGTCGCATGCGTAGATGGAGAATCTGGAGACGATATTGAGCCGACAGATTTATGGAAGAGAAGGCAGCAGCAACTGCTAAAGGCAATATTAAGGAGCTTGCCGCCTTCTGCAGACAGTTTCATTCCACTCATCACGGAGCTGTGCGAAACTCTGCAGCCGCTTCAGGTACACTTTATCCCTATAGCGAGCGTACTCTCCTTCTAGAGGAACATGAACGTCCCTTTACTCGCTTCATCAGTCAGAATGTACGCAGGCGCAAGATGCATGATCCCAGCAATTGCACGCTTTTATCTATTGCAGCCCCGAGCTTTCCGTGTGCGGTTGCGTGATTTCACTGCAGCCGCTTCCAACTCTACGGTGCTCTCTCTGTAGCTGCCTCGCGGCAATGATCCTGCTTATGTTGCTGCTGCTACGCGCGCGGCCGTTGACGTGTTGCTGCTGCTGCGAAGGTTGCCGTCCTTGGAGCAACAGCCATAGTCGTCATTCTCATTGCCAACGACGCCCGCCCCCAACCGCTGGCCATGCCAAAGGGGAAGGACACGAGCCTACGGATGCAGCGGCGTCATTTTACTTCGACGACGCACTGACGCTCGCAAGGGAAGAAGATGTAGGACTTGAGTTGGTTGACTTCGTTCGGTCAACAATACACAAGTCGGCTCCTCCCACCGGTCTGGTTCGTCCTTTCGATCCCCCAAGCTCAGTGGAAGGAGCTGAGGTACCGGCTCAACATCCTGAAGAAAGAGCTGTTCATGTGTTGCTGGAGTCTATTTTCTCGCGCATGACACAGCCAATTATGCAATTGTGTGGACCGGTCCAGTCTTCGTCGTCGTCAGCCTAAAAAACTGTCATACGGCTTTTGTTGCTAATGAACTTGCGACTTTCCCATTTTAGAAACGAAACGGTATTAAGGGCATAACATACCGTGAGCGCGGCTATTTGGGACTAGTGTTATTCAAGCAACTAGGCAAATTAGCCGTGTATACACCCGTGAGCGACCGCAAGATAAGCTTGCCCGTATGGGGCGGGATAGTTGGTACGGCAGTCCCATGTGAACTGATTGCGTTGTACTTTCAAAGTAGTCACTTACCATCTCCATAGGTTCACCTGCGGCGTCTCAACACCAGCAGGGATTGTCGTGTCTTGCACGGTGGGCGTGTGGGCAGGGCTGGGTGACTGCGTGAGTGCATTGCGTCATTCGCTGTGGTGTATTATACGATCACGGAACAATTGAAATGCACTCAAATAGCATGCCACAACAGTCACCGATAGTGGAGCTCACCACTAGGCTGGTGCTCGGCGGTGTAAACCATGTCACTCTGCAGGGCTTCTATGATGCTTGCTATTTCAAGCCATCTGTGCATATTTGCGGGAAGTGTATTGATTATTGTACTCAAAATTGACCCGGGGCGAATTTAGAGGTGGGAAAGGCTCGAGTTTGCACAAAGAGTTGGGCGGATGGCATCGCTTGACGCGAAGAGCGGAGACGGAAGAGCTAGCTGACCCCCCGGTAGGTGTGAAAGTTGATATTGTTAGCATTTGCATGAAGTGTACGCTTATGGCACGTTGGGCTTCATACCAGGATGTGAATTATGCTATGGCTTGTCCCCACAGTAACGGTATCAAGTGACCTCCGTTTGCGGGGCCACTGCGGGAAGCTGCACAAGCCCAGATTTGGGGTATAAAACAAATCGCGTTTAAAATTCTTTAATGGTTTTTACTATTACAAGAAGCGCATCACTTGTATGATTTTGTGCGGATAGCGGCTCGAACACTTCCCAAGAACGGGGCCGCTTACGCGCATCTACAGCAGCGAGCATCTTCGCCTCGCAACGAAGCCATTATGTGTGAGCGAGTAATTGCCCAGAATAGTACCTCATGATAAGCTAAGACTTCTGACTAGATACAATAGAACGTTTTTCTGCTGAAACCGTCATGTGATGTTCGTGATAGGCTAGTGCTTGAAGCATCTACTGCTAAATGCCATCACCAGAAGGCTTGTACCAAACCGATGCTTCTGAGATTTTACGCTTTAGCCGCATCAAGCATTCTGCATCTTAGTTTATTTTTCACCACTTAGCAGCAAGGAACACCGGTTCTTGTCTCGCATACTTGCAACACAAGGTTTGGCTGACCGGTTCTTCAGCTAGGCAAAGCAAAGCTGCCGTGCGGTTCACCAAAGCCTGTGAGCAGGTGGCGTTTCCATAATTATAAGTAGGGAGCATTAAGGATCGGATGATTTCAGGTTTGTTTCACAATGGGGAAGTCTTCAAATCGTCCCGCAATAGAGCGACTCATAGAACGAAGTCGCGTGCAGGAAGAGCGTGACAAGGTCCTTGCAGAGCTTGAGGCCGCGAGGATACAAGCACTCAACCAGTCTCGTTGCGACGCAAGGGTAGAAGCCTTAAGGCGTCAAAACTTAGAGACGGCTGAACTCAAGGGATTTGCAACAGAGTTAGAGCTCACAGTTGAGGAGCAGCAAAAGCAGCAAAAATTGAAGGGGGAAGAGTTACAGCAAAGAATTACAGATACACTAGAACGGCAGCTCCAACAAAAAGAAGCAATCGACCTTGAGAGGCAGAAAATATGCTTAGAGAGTGAAGAGATACGCAAGCTCAAGGAGCAGCTAACAACAGCACGGGTGAATCGTGAAAGAGCTGCTCAACTCCTCGAGCGACAATTTAGGGAGTAAGCTGGCTAAGCATATCAGAAGAAGTCTGAACAGTCTGTTTTGAAACACGAACTTCTTGCACAGAGGGCTCCCACTGCGCATTCTGACTTTGGCACAGATAGATTTGATTCCAAAGGTCTGCAGCGCAAGTTATTCCAACCACGTGGCTGTGGATTGGCTACTGAGCTCATGCGCAAACGCATCTCAGCAAACTTTTATCGATTGATTAACAAATGAAAGAACCTTTGCGGCAGCTGACTTTGATTGCGCTTTCTGGAAATATTTTTGATGAAACAGTTTTCAAATATGTTGTTGTTTCCGGGTCTCTCCGCCTGCTTATTCCTGCGTCATTGGAAGTCACGGAACTGTGATCCATCAACAGTAGCTGCTTGATATTCTTATTTAAGCCTAGAACTCATTGGCATTGTGATAGTGCATTCCTCAGTTCACACTATCCCCCGGTTGTTTTTCTATGCTTGAGAGTGTCATCTCCGTTCTTCAGAATCTACTTTAGGTTTATGTTGCAGAGTTGATGCTGCGCTAGCGGACGCACGGCTTGATTTAGCTATGGAAGAACAAAGACTGGCAGAGTGTGAAAATGCCCGGCGGCTGGAGCTCGAACGCAGCATGCAAATGAAGCGAGTAGGACTAGATCTAGTAGCGCAGATCGAAGCCAGGCAGCGCGCCAAACAAGAGGAAACTGTGGAGAAATACACCCGCGAAAAGGAGCAGGTCGGCTTGATGCGAAGCTGAGTAGTCCCCGTTCCGTCCGTCTTGCAAGACGTTTTTGATGCATTGGTCATTGACACGGAAATGGGAGGTTGCTTTGAAAATTTCGCCCCATAATCGCTTTTTTTACTACCTCCAGGTCGGCGCAGTCGTTGCAAGGCTGCTTGAAGAAATGGAAAGTGAAAAGCGGCAGTACATTGAACGCCGTCGCCTCCATGCACATATGATCGAGGAAGCAATGAAAGAAAGGCAACGGCAAAAACAGCAGTTGCTTGAAGAAAAGATTAAAGAAGATAATGAAATTAAGGTAGCAAGCTTTCATGTTTCAGATCGAAACTAGTGACGCAGCTGCAGTTAAGCAGGACTCAACCTGGTTGCCACTCAGGGGTTGAACGGCAAAATATCTGGTGCGCCTTACCTTTCGTACGTCTAGGCATACCTCGAAATGCAGCGTAAACGCGCAGAAGACACAGCGCGGGAGAAAGAGATGATCAGGAAGGAAAAGGCAAGAGTGCTAAACGAGCTGTTGCAACAACAACTACAAAGGCAGAAAGAAGAAACGGATTATGCACAGCTGATGGCCGAGCTTTATGAATACGAGCGTGAAGAACAAGAAAGACGAAAGGAAGAGGCTCAAAAGCAGAAGAGGTAGGAAAAAACAGTTCCAGCGGGGAGCCGTCGTATCCGCCGCAGTCTGCGAATTTCTTGAATAACGAATTTTTTGGTGAGCAGCCATGAATAACTGTCTAGCGACTGGAAAGAGCAGTGCATTTTTTCTCTGTCGCTTCAGACTAGAGGAAAGAGCTGCGCTCGCTGCTGCATTCAAGGAGCAAATGCAGGAGAAAGAACGGAGGAGACAAGCACTGTTGGCTGAAGAGGGACAGTTCAGGCGAGAGCTGCAAGCGAAGTTCGCCAGGGAAGCCAGAATTGAGCAGATGACCCAGCAAAGACGCAAGCTCGCTATCTTGGAGCACAACAGACAGGTGATAATTATTGGTCCCTTTGGATGTCTCTTTAGCTGCTGTCAGCAAGCTGTCGCTCGTCAGAGACACGTATAGTCGAGACTTGCTGAATACTGTCGTGATATTTCAGGTAGAGGCAATTATACAAGAGCGTCGTCACCGGCTTGCAGAAGAACGGGAAAGGGATAAAGAGGAATATCGCAAATATCTTGAACTAGAGGCCGAAAAGCAGGCAGTAATTCAACAAGAGAGGGAACGACTACTGTGCGAAAACGCAGAGCTTGCGGATTTCTTGCCGAAGTATACGCTGCAAGACAAACGAGAGCAAAACATTGTTAGAAGCGCGAAACAGCAGAGTGCCACTATTCACCTGGATTCTGTGGCGTCACTTCCTAGAACACTTCGAACGTTGCCCCTTGCGGAAACCACCGAGGCATTCACTTGATTAAAACAGTGGGTATTTGTGATTAATTCATATTTTTTGCCTGGATTTCCGTTTGGTGTAAGTTCAGCTTCTAGGAATTATATCGTCTAAATTTATTTTTGTCTTTTAAGTAATCCTAACATGCTCAGAATGTTCTTTTAAGTTGTCCTCTGATTGAACAAGTCTGACTGAGGTCGTGGCCAGCGATCAATGTACGTACCAAACAATAGGTCACCTTACTTTTTGGAGCCCAGTACTCCACCACCACCATTGCCTTGCGGTCTCAAGGATACTCTGAACTTTAGTCAACGGGACGGCAATTCCTTAGCCGCGTTACGAAAGGCAAAGCCGTTGAAAGCATCTTTTAACAAGAGCTACAATTTCCTAGTAACTTTCTCACTGAAATCCGCTAAACATGCCTACTAACGGCTACAGATGGGATGGTGGCATGCTTCTTTGTGGACGAAGAGACCAACTCTGGTAGTCGAAGACAAATAGTGCTGAATAAACCAAACAAAGTATCACTGCTGACAATCAGTGTTTGCCGGGTTCAGCATCTCGCCCTCACCACAGCACTTCGGCAATTAAAGTGACTCGACAGACTGAATTGTAAACTGTGAGCGCCGCCTCAGTTGGGCCTCAGTTGAAGCCTCGCCTGAGGCCGGGGAAGCAGAAGAAACGAGAGCAACGGTCAACAAAATCAAAACAGTTCTTTTAACTAGCTGATCCACTTTTGCACCTGGCTCATAAAGCTACCGTTGAATCCGGACCAGCCCACAGACAGCGGGGCTGCGCTGTGTGGATTTCCACCTGTGGAGATCTCAGATTTTTTATCTTCTTCGCGCCCCCGCTTTTCATCCGGTCTATCTTCCCTGTTGGTCCCATGACGCATTTTCTGGCGATGACGGGAAGAATAACGTGATAAATCTGCATCTGGTGCTGTTGCGCTGGTTGACGTTCGGCGATAGGACACAGCAGCCGCTCCGCTGCCATCTAGCCGTGTTGCTGATTCCTTATGTCCGCATCCGGGGACATCCGTTCCAGCTGTGCTGAACGCCAAATTTTCCCGTTGTCTAGGTGAACGGTATTCAGATGCCGTTGAGCACTGTTGCTTGCTCAGCAAAGGGTTGACTGTTCGCCTAGGGCCATAAAGCAATGACTCGTGCCCAGTATTTAGAGATCTAGTGGTTCTAGCCCCCGATTCGCTCCTTGGACGACCTGGAGAACACGGCATCTGGGTTTCGCCGCTCTTGCTGTGTCTAGACCGTTTCGCATCAGAGTTTTGCGAGCTGCGGGGATCCCCGTGTCGACGGCCTGTACTACTGCGCGCAGAACTAACTCCCAAAAAGTCCGACGACGCAAGAGAACACTTGCTATGATCTCTCGAGTAAGGTGGAAGCTTGGTTGCATGAGCTAATAACGACCTCTGGGCAGGCAATACGGCAGACGACGTGGAAGCAAGAGACCGTGCAGATGCCGGCGGGGCAGGCAAGTGGGAATCTCGAGCTAATAAAGTACCTTGCTGATGCCGAGAGATGTCAGAGAGGGTCTGGCACTTCTCGCCCGTGCGGCTACCGCCCAGGAAACGGGCACTGTCAATTGGTGTCTGCTGCAGTGCAAATGCTCTTTCAGCTCGTGAGACGGGATGGTGCGCAGACAGCTGTGGCCTATTTAGGCCTGCTCCATTGTCCCGAAGTAGCTGCTCCTGGTCAGACGGATAGCGCAAACCGCCAGAGCTGTAGCGACGCTCTCCCTGGAGCAGAAACTCCTGGCGACCTGCAGATGGAGTCATACTCCCACAATTGAAGTTGGAGACTGAATCTGCAAGCGACGGGGCTGCGTTAGTGGCAGCGCAACGAGGTGCACGATCCCCAATGCCTGTTGCTTGACTTTTGGATGCTTTGGGGCTCCACAAGGACCCGGCCGAGCTGTTGATGCGTTGCACTACACATGAAGACAAGATAGAATCCGGGGGCCCCGGGCTGGCCTGCATACTCTGGGGAGAAGCAGAAATCGATTCCGATGGCTGAGGTCGCAGACGCGTATGCCTATGTAAAACACTCTCCCTTCCCTGCAGCCCTGCCCCCTGATATGCGAGACGATTGCCTGCAAGAGCGTTGATTTGCCTTTCGAATGACCCGTCGGTACCTAGGTATGAACCACGCTGAGACGGCATGGAAGGGGAGGCTCCTGGCTTCTCAGAATGGCTGATGAATGAGCTGCTGGTGGTTGTGGTCGCATCTTCGACTACACAGCTATGAAGCGGCAAGCTGCACTGGCTGCCCATAAGACTGCTGCTAGCACAACTGGACGTCTCTTCAGAGCCGCTGGACCCATCATCAGGAACGCACACGCCCCTGCTTGAAGCGTTGAAGGCGTGCTGTTCCAGAGCCTGTGCGTTTGAACTGCAGGCATGCATTCCTCCAAAACCTCCAAAATGCTCCAATTTGCCACAGTGACACGCCAAAGTGTTGTCATCAGACTTTCCCCTTGGCAGCAGCTGGTCACTATGACTAGCAATTGAACCCGTGAAATTTCCAGATGACGTATGCGGGTGGGCATCGGACGTTCGCTTCCAGCCGTTGTCTCGCTGAGCTGGCAGACGCAGGCTTCCCTCATTTGTCACAGTTTCACAGGATTTGCCTCGTTGCTCGCAACTGAGCCTTTGTGTCCGAAACTCCGGCTCGTGTCGATGTGAACGCTGGCCTCGAAGATCATTCCGTACAGAACACGTTCCCGCAGTATCTACAATTTGTCTCTCAGAAGAACACCTCAGTTCTTCCAATTTCTGCTTCAGCTGCACTTCCAGCTCTTGTTGGAGCAACCTGCGTTGAGCTTCTTGCAGATCCTGTTCCCGCTGCTCCTGTCGCCTTTGCAGCTCCTCCAGCTTTGTTTGCAGCGTTTCAATGAGTTTCCTTTGCTGTTGCTCTCCAGATTCTCGTTGCTCTTCTCTGGTCTTTTGAAGAGTTTCGAGCTGTTCTTGCAGCATGTCGATCCGCCGCTGCTGCGCCCTCTGGAGATCTTCGTGGTGTTCCCGCTGGCGCTGTATCATCTGCTGTTGCTGCTGAAGAGAGGCATCGACAACGCCTGCAGCGGCAGCAAGCAGAGCCGCTGCAGACGCCGTCTGTTCATCCTGCGTTTTGGTGCATTCCTGTTGTACTCCACTCTGAAGATGCTGCTTAGACCTCTGCTGATCATCTGTTCTGAGTTCTTCTTTACTGCTGCTTCTGCACGATTCAATTCTTCTATCTTTTGTAGATCTGTCCTGCAAAGTTAATTGTTCGGTTAGTATTTGGCTTTGTTGGCCCATCGCCCGGGGTGGTGCTTCAGCTTCAGTGTCTCCATGGTGGGAAGTCCTAGAAATTCTATCCTGCCCATGCCGTTGTTCAGCGTCACTTGATTTTCTTGTTTCATGTGTCTCATTGGGCTGATGTGGCTTGTGGCTTCTGGTGTTTCCTTGGGAAGAGGGTACCTTCGAGAAAGGTGGCTCTGCGCTGCTACTGCGGCTCCGTGGGCTACGACGGGGATTTACATTTTCTCTGCTTCGGCATGTTTCAGGAGCGTCTACTTTGCCCTTTGAACCTTCATCGTTCTTGCGGAGCGGCGACGTTAAATTCTCAGCTTCTAAGACAGCTTTGCACTCTGCTTCACAGGTGTAGCGCTCCTCAGGCAAGCGTGCGGCTCTAAGCGTGACTCCTGAATCTTCCCTTTTTCTAAGCGTCCCCGCAGAGTCCTCTAGGATTTCCTCATGAGTTTTGGAAGAAGGCTCGCCGTGTTGATCAGCCCCATCATCTCCTTGAAGAGCCGCAACCTTGTGTCTAGCAGGCGGCTCCGTTACTCCCAATGAAACTGTGCGTCGAGCTCTCATGTGCTCTGGACGCGGCGAAGGGTCTCGTCTTTCAGGTGACGGCGTATGATCTGCCCGGATGGACGCAGGCGATCCGATCTTGCTCCTGAATGCCGCAGAATCTGTTTTTTCGCTAGACTCGGAACCTCTGCTCCTGCTGAGACAAGCGGGAGGGCTAAAAGACCCTCCCTCAAACTGTTCCCCGAGGTGCGAACTACCCTGACTGCCGCGCCTTAGAGGTCTAAATTCGCTTGGGTCCTTCATAGAGACTGCAGCTGCTACTGCTGCAGAGAGCTTTTTAGATTGTTTGTGCTTAGCCTTTGGGCTATCTGCCTCTCCTGCATTACGGGTATTTCCAGAAGTGTCGTCATCAACGTTTTTCTGGGCATCTGCACGACGGGCTGCGGCTCCAGGTAATGCTGCGCAGGCTCCTAACATGCTGAACATGCCGCTTAAAGTGCTTGCATCCAGAGCCTTCGTAGCCAGATCATCCCTTGTTTGGTGAGACCTGTTTCCAATCTTCCGGCCAACCGATACAATGGGAGACCCCTTTGCTTCTCCTGCAGCGCCTAGCATCAGAAGATTTCTGTCAGAGCTGGCAGAAGCCAAAGCGTGACCTGAAATAATTCCATCACGAAGAGAGCTTCTCACTGGATCACCAAGAGCAGGTCCTACTTTCGGTGAAGAAGATATCAGTGAAGATGATGTACTAGAACGTTGATGTTCATTAGAAACGCTGCTGCCTGATACTCGTGATCTACATCGCCTTCCCTCGAGAGGTGGATGGAGTCCACCAGTGCTGCCTGAATGCCCAGAGAGTGGCTTGGCAGAGCCACTACTTCGTGGTGCTTCAGGAGATTCAGACGCTACTAGTGCCTTTGCAGACAAGTGAGGAACCGGCGCTGATGCACCCTTCTTGTAATGCTGATGTTTGCTTCCGAATTCATGTGACGAGCGCATTGGGCTGCCTTTCCAGATAGGCCTGAAACGCAAAATATGCAAGATAACCATGCTAGAAGCAGTGCTCCCTATGTCTTGTTCGGTAAAGGTAAACAAAGATAACGACTCTTATGCTAAAAACAATTGTGCGCGTACTCCTCTTCGCCCTCTTCTTCCACCGAATCTTCAAATTTGAGCAAATCGAGCGGATCTGAAAGCACGCATAGCATAGTGAGCCAGTTCACTCCAAAATAGATAGCTAGACCCCCAAAAAAATCACTCATCTGTCAATCACTAGTTAGTCAAAGTCATACTGGTTCGGACACAGGTCTCTCTCGTTGCAAGCAAGCATCCCTGGGGGAAAAAATCTCCTTCCTCACCGAAAATATCTTCAGCTTCTAAAAGGCTTGCGGAAGAGGTTGGTTCCTTGGAAACAGCATCTGTTGTCGAAGGCTCAGAGCGTACTGCAGCATAAGGGTATTCAGCTCCCTGAAACATCCAGCAGGAGTGAACACAAGTAAAGAACTCAAGCAAAGAATTGCTTTCCACTTTGAGCTTACCCACCTGACGAACAGCAGTTCAGTGTCACTTACAGCAGCTCCTGGTGGTGAGTCGCGGGGCCGCAGCACAGCGGGAGCAACGGGGTTAACCACTCCGCTAGAGGGAGCTATTTGATTCGCCCCTGTAGCCGATTGCTCCCTGGTAGCGACCGCTTCAGTCAAAGGTGCTTTGAGGTCCATCTCGTTACTGATTGTGGCAGCACTTTCACTCTGACGTCGTCTTGACGTTTCAGGTCCTTCGCTAGTAGTTTCTTTAGTAAGCTCGTTTCCCCTCGGAAAAGAAAAGGCACTTTTTTCACTAACTTGTCTGCCTTCACTTGGCCTGTTAGACTGCTTTTGAATGGCAGAGCCAGAGCCATCCCTGCTACTGTCCGAAGCAGAGGGCGCCTGTGACATCTCCAGTTCGTCTCCAAGAGTTGGTAGAGCTCTCCAAGACGCACCGACTAAGTGATCCACTTGCTTCTTTTGTGAAGAACGTGCAGAAGACTCGCCTGAGGTTGCAGCTAGTTCATAGCGCGGATGAACACCACGTCTGTGCTGTTTTCTCCTGAAGCCATAAAGTCGAAACCAGATCGGGAGAGCCACCTAGCAAGGGAAACCAGAGAGTCACTATTCGCTGCACAGCTTCTCAAGGGGACCTACATCTCATCGGTAAAGGCCTCCAACTCCTTGATATGTGCCAGGGCAGCCTTCATCCCTGCCTTCAGCTTCATTAACTCATGGTCGCGCTGCGCTGTTTCGACTTCACTGGCGTACGATGCGCCTTTTACTGGCTCTTCTTGCCTTGATTCTTGCAGAATTTGCATCAAACAATTACGCACGCCACGGACCTGCTGCAACAGACGAGCTTGTTGTTTGTTCTTTACCTCCAGTATTGTGACCTGTTGAGCAGCAGCATCATCATTATCTTTGCAAAACCATCATCGCTAGCCATGTACAAGAGCTAGATATCCGACAAAAACTGGGGAACCGAAATCAACGTCAACGGGGATAACTACTATGTTCGAAAACGGTTCGGCAGACCGCTTCTCACTTGCTGAACTTTCTCCTCGAGCCTCCCCTGCAACTGTTGTATCAAGGCGTCATTCTCCTCCGCCTCAGCCTCTTGCCTTTGCTTATCTTCCTCAAGCTCCACGATCCGCTGTCGAAGGGTTGAAGTACTGGCACTTATGTCGCCTTGAAGCTGCTGACGCGCTGCTTCTGCCGCCCTGGCTCTGTCTTCTGCGAAGCGGAGTTGCCCTTCCAGTGTTTCCTTTTCTCCTGTGACAGAGAACCACGGCATTGGAGCGAGGTATACTGCAAGTCTCTGTACAGTGCATGGGGCTATTCGTACCCGTTACATGTGGTAGCTCACGCGTCAGCGTTTCCTTTATCTGGCGAAGTTCTTCAGCAGCATCAGCTTTTTCCTTTTGTGCAGCAGCCAAAAGGCGGTTCAAGTGCTCACTCTGCGTCGATTGGTCACAACGAAGAACGATCAGCACTGTATCAGCACTGTTTAGTGAAGGGTACAACAAGTGCTCAAAATGCTCGAAGCATGAATTGAGCGTTGTCACATAAACTGTTCCTTACTTGTGAGGTAAGCTTGTCGATGAGGGCATCCTTCTCGCGGGTTACACAAAGCAAATTCTCCTCTTTATCTGGCAGAAGTAAGCACAGAAAACTGCAGATGCTCGTCAGCATTATGAGACAAACAAAAGCCTGTTGTGGCATCGTAAACACGGGCACGAAGGGGCTATACTCACCATGCAGCAAGGCCTCGATCCGCTCTCTCTCCACTTGCCCAGAGCTCAGCGCCGCCTGCAGCTGATGAAGTTTCTCCTGGTCGCATAAATGCTGCTCCTGTTGCATGCGCAACTGGCTGTGCTCATGTTCAAAGCCTTCCAAGCGCTCGACAAGCTGCTGCTTCTCTGTTCTCATCCGTCTAAGAGATAACACTGCGTCATTCATCTCCTGAAACACGCACGGGGCACAATGCCTTGGTCATGTAGAGGGTCCTACGCGACGCTGAGCAACATTTTCTGCAAACGAGAAATATGACTGGCAACGAGGCGCTCCACACGTTGACCAATGCATGCAAAAGTACCGAGTGTGTGCAGATCTATAAGGTGCATGCGCAAGACAGAATGCTTCTTTATTGACGGATTTTTCTGCGACATGGGAACATACATCGTTTCGTTTGTCACGCTCGGCAGCTATTCGGTCCATACAGTCAATTGCAGCTGCATTCAAGTACCGCAAGTGCTGTACTTCTTTCTTAGACAGCATCCCACTCTCCGTGGATCTCCCGGCAAAAATCAGCAGTTCTCGCAGCTGGTCAACTGAAGATGAACAGGCAAGAGTCGAACGTAGTTCGATTACATAGTGTGATATTTGTCTTTGTCATAAGAGCATTTAAAGACACCAGCACATGACTGCATTGTAACCCTGCAAAGCTTACATGGGTCTTCCGATTCAACGGTCTTCAAGAGTGCCAATATATCATCACGTGCTGATCTTGAAGGCTCTTCAAATGAGCGATGTTCGGAGCCTCCGTCTTGTCTCGGTCCAGCTGAGCATGCTGCGCTTGTAGCAGAGGTTCCGCTCACGGGACGTTCTTGTTGTTCGCCTAGTGCATGCCCCATTCTCGGACTCCCTCGCCATTGCCCTCGTAGCGGCTCGTCACCGTAGTTCTCCTCGAGCCCGTCACATGCCAGCCTTGAGGCTGCTGAGTTACCGCTCCGCAGCTTCTGGTCCTTCGCGTCTTTTTCATAGGTGGCTCCAGCACTGCCGATGTTAGCGGAAGCCCCAACTGGCAAACAGTGAAACTCAGACGTTACGCTGCTGGCTCGGGACAAAGTAGACTGAACAATCCGTCCAGAGTCTGGGGACGTTGCAGATTGACCAGCATCCTGAGAATCCCCATCTGGCAGCCTCATCGCTGTGGATTTCTCTTGAAGATAGCTCTTCAGAAAGCCAAAAACCATCATGGATAGTTCTGTAATCGATAGGACAGACGTCGGCTCCAAGAGCGACGTCTCCTTGTGCACTTCATCCCAAAACAGGCTAGAGGGGCATGCCTCCCCTGCCTGAAGTAGACCGCATCTCCTGTTCTCCATTTGCCGTTCATTATGACGGAAGGTGACCGACTTGTTCGTCTGGTCGATGATTTGGAGCACTTCGTCTCTGGAAAGCAGCACGCTGTTGGTCGGTCCCTGTTGCTTCCTCATAGCCTCAGCAAGCAACCCATCCCTGTACAGGAAGCCAAAATCAAGCTGCGGTGGCCAGCATATTGAAAGGAAGCTGTGGTGTAGATGATAGAAACGGCGGACCTGGCAGCACTGGTGCAAGCACATGCGCTTCGGTATGCGTGCATTAATGTAATGGCTACTGAGATGTCATACCTGAAAACCTGCAGCCCATAAACCTTATCGTCAATATGCGTAGATGGCTCTCTGATCCCCAAGAGTTCAAGAAGATTCTCCATGCCTGAAAAGAAAAGGGTAGGACTGCATGGATAGTTAAGCGGAGCGTGCCGAAGACTGCGTAGACACACAGGCTGTGACGAGCCATCCACTCGCGCCAATACTGCACTGACCCGCCCAAAAGCTAAGAAAATTAATCTCTCCGTTGTTGTCTGCTTCAAAACACTTCTTGATCAAGTCCTCAACTTCCTCTTTTTCCATGGGTGCCGCCTGCACACAGAATTCAAGCGGCAAGTTCCGGATTTATTTCCAAACAATAAGTAATTCAAAAGTTGATGACAAAAACTAGCGGCAGTCTGGCACAGTGCAGGAAGCTCTGACTGACCATCAAAAGGTGCTGTGTAAGCAGTTGCTGTTCCGCTTCTAAGCGCACTAGTGGCCAGCCGCTGCCGCGGCAGCTGACAAACAGCTCCAGCACAGCGTGTATTTCATCCATTTTCCTCAAAAAGGCGGCACGCGGTGAAGCAAGTGACTAGTGAGAACTGTTGATATTCATGGCCTCCATGGGAGTGGAAGCGCAAAAGACAGGAAAGCCGCGGCGCAGTTCCAAGAGTAGTCTTCACCCAGCCAGCCAACCAGTGAACATCGCATTATCCAGCCCCTGCAGATCAACGAGATTCACTGGTATGGAACGGTTGAGACCATGGTGGGCCCGGAGTTTGAAGGCAAATACACTTAAATAGGCGGCGCAGTTTGTATTTGCAGCCCGTGACATTGATGTCTTCATTGCTAGCCGCACCGAATCATACTGTTAAGGATGAGAGGAAGCTCCTGTAAGAACGTACTAGGAGACATTGCCTCTGATGCAGAACCGCAAGACCAGAGGGGGGAAAGCTACAGAATTTAGAGGAGCCCAGTGAATGTAGCAGATGGGGCTCCAGGTACTGTAATTACGTAGTCGAACTGCTAACTTGAAAAAGTCGACTACAGGAAGTAGACAATTCCTGAAAGGGGATATGCTGGTGAGAGTGGGAAGACATAAGGGGCCCCTGCAGTAAACCATGAGACCGCTGCCACGTTGAGAGACACAGAGCAAGTAGATCACTTGCTGCTTCTGCCGCGAATTGCTCAGCCATTCATGACTCTCAAATGTTAGTGAAAGACAGTGACGTCATTTAATATGCCTTCACTTGGACGCCGCTGCACGCCCGTCACTGTATACTGGGTACCTACTCGCTGTGGCGGCCCATCAGCAACCAGCGGCACCTGGGGCCCTTCAGAACAGTGTGCAGGAATCCATTTTTACTTCAGTGCAAGGATTAAAAGCATTGTTCTACCACTGTTAATTGCTCATCACGGGCCGTTTTTTAGTCAGAGATCAGGCAGCGCCCGTAAGGACCTGTACGGGTCAACATTGAGCTGCTTTGAAATGAAGGGGCCCCCTGTCCCATGATCGGTCAGCCGCTTCAATGGCAACTGTTTGCCGTGCACGAACAACGCGAATTATGGATATAAGACTCTTCATAACTCTTGTCCCTTGAAGACGGAAACTGGATTACCTGCGACTTCAAGCGGATGCTTCTTGTGTGTGGTGAGCACGCTTAGAAGACCACTGAGGCACCGGGCGACTGAGTGCAGTTCCCAGCTTCCGGGTTCTCACTACACAAGTGGATTAGTCAGGCAATATTTGATTGCAATGCAGCCCCCCGGTTTTTCGTTATTCCGTGCCGCCGTCATCGCCGGTTAGTTTTTTCGCACTTACCACTAGGCTACGCATTGCAAGTTCGCCTCCGCTGCTCGTAGGGCTGCGTCACTCACAAGTCCGTAGCATACTTAACAGGTACTGTGGCCCTAGTACAGAACTCTAGGCGTTGTGCGGACTAACCAACGAGCAACTCCCCTCATTTCTAATAAATATTCCAGTAGGCAAATGCTCTGCATTCCTGCTCTAAGCAAATTCCATCGTTTCTAATACTATGTATTCCAGTGGGCGGAGATTCTGCATTGATGGTCAGGTGTGTTCAAGGAAACTTCATTGTCTTTAACAAGTATTTCGGTTAAAAGAGCTGTGTCTACTCCACAAGGGCTTCCCTGCACCACCATGAAAGTAGGGAGCAACTTCGCTTCACTACCACCCCTTGTGGAGTAGACACAGCTCTTTTAACCGAAATATTTGTTAAAGACAACGAAGCTTCCTTGATCATACCTGACCATCAATGCACAATCTCCGCCTACTGGAGTACATATTAGAAACGAGGGAAGTTGCTTACAGCAGGAATGCAGAGCATTTGCCTACTGGAATACTTATTAGAAATGAGGGGAGTTGCTTTGAGCATATCTGAATACCCACATCAAACATCCGCCTCATTCACAGATCTATCAAATAGTGGCTCAGTCATTCATTCATGCAGTCTGCTCATCAGAGCAGTCTCACAATGATCCACTGCTACCTGTAGCACTGGCGTACGGCAGGCAGGTTTTCAGAAGCCACGCAGCCTAGCTATCCAGAATTTTCATCGTCGAGCACCACACCCAGAGCCAAGCAACCGCGTCATCTATGTACCTACGCTTTTGAACAAACGCGAGTGCCACCGGATTGCGACAGTTGGAGCGGGATGCTGGTTAAGGCCATTCCAAGCGCTCGAGTATATTATTTAAACTTGAATAGGAATAGGACGCTGCTTACCTGAAAGCGTTCCTCGCTAAGGCGGGTGCTCAGCACGGGAACTTGGCAAATCCAGAGACACCGCTTGTCGAGCCCAGATAGCATATATTCAACAGAATAATTGTACGTGGAGCACACTGAACACAGAAGTCGCTAGTTTCGTGTCTTGAAGCGAAGAGCATTTGCCTTTTACAGAGGGGAGGAAAGGACTGCCGCCATCATGTCGCTTTTTTGTTTGTTTCCCGTTAGTGCATGAGAACACTGCTGTAGAGTGCAAGCATGTTTGTGCCTTCGCGGTCTGGACGGACTCAGCATAATTGTCCATTTTCTGCTAAGCGCCTTCGTGCATCATTCTAATTTTGCCTGAGCAGCTCCACTTGCTCTACTATTACCAGGGGTCTTATTCGCTGCCAGCGAGCCCTCCCGTTGGCAATACAATTGCCAGACCATCTGCAAGTCAACAAGTCTAAGAAATTTACTATTCTATAGGTGCGGGAAGCCAGATGGAATCTTAATGTCATGGTTCAGAGTGCGTGGTCGGCTTTGGTTGGCATGAAGGATGCATGACCCAACACTGCAACACGACCATTTTAGTGAATGTAAAGTGCACATCAAAACTAAAGTTACGACTAACTACGACTGGCCTGGGCCTGTGGGCCTGTTTATTGCGAGCTTGAAACTCCTTTGAATGGTTCTGATTGAGCAGACTCCAGTGGTGCACGAAGAAACACCACAGAAGAAATTACGCTAATCAGATGTGCTGCGCGGGCACTCATGCCTCGACCATAAGTTGCGTGGCATGCTTCCTTCCGTTCAGTGGGAAGAAAATCCGAGCTGCCTGGCTAAACAAGATAAGCGCATGCACAGACGACACCAGCAAAGCCAGTGCGAGGCACCAAAGAGCGAGCACTCTCAGGGTACACACTGTGGCAGCGAACGTCTGCAGAGACAGCAAATAACTGACAGGAAGTGCAGCAGCAGTCCATTCACGGTGCTCGCAAGCACCCATGAACGAAACACTAAGAGCTGCGGATTGATTATCAATGGAACCCTTATTTGGCAGCAGGTAAGCAAGAACAATGGCAGCGAGAAATGGCAAGAGGCCTAGCAGGAGATCTAGAGTTAATGACAGGGCAAAGATAAACCGGCAAGCCTCCGCTACCAGTACGAATTGATTTCCAAAATTTCCTGTTACCCTGTCTCGCTCTTCTCCTGCATGTCTCCCAGTCCCCTCAGATATAGAAACAGTGTCAGACACCGTTTTGCAGGGGGCACGTGCTGGGGCATGATGCACTAATCGTCTGACGGAATTTCTCCTGAAGAAATGCCGCTTCTCATTCGGTGCAAAGCGCTTGGGAGTTTTGAGTTTCCCCAAGCTAACTGCGATGGCGCACGTCATTGGCGGCGCTGGTGGCGCAGTTGAGGGGCATATGTCCAGTTGCTTGTTTGCAGTGTCCTCATCACGATTGCTCTCAGTGTTTCTTACCCGGGGTGAGTTGAAGGACCTGCCTGCTTGTCTTTCACACGTGGGTTGACAGACCAACCACAGCACATCCTTGCTTCTGTCATTGAAATGCTTCGAGAAGACATCCGCTTCCTCCCGTATGTACGACGCAGGGGGAGTGGTGCAGGGCACTTCATCTGCTCGGAAAGAAACATTTCCCTGTGAAAAGGCACTGATACTCTCCTTCTCCAGAGCATTTGTCACCCACAAAGAGTTATCCCCAAAATGCTGATCTTGATACAGAAGGAGCTTTTCGAATTCGCGACACCAAAAGCTGAAAAATGTCTGAAAACACACGCGGACTGTGTCTCACCACGCATTGGGGGTGTACTGCGATTAGCATTTACCTGCACGAACAATCTCCACCAGCTGCCTGCGTTGAAGAAATCTCACTCACCTCTCGTAAATGGGGCAATTCGACCATATCCCGAAACCGGTAATGCATGTCTGGAGAAGCAAGCTGGTCTAAACCACTATCTCCCCGGGTGCTACTGCCATCACCAGCAACCCCGGATTCAGGCGCCTTGTTCCAATGAGTTGGGGCTGGACAGTCAGCGGATTTAAATCCAGCCACGACTCGTGATGGGTCTAAACGGCGCTGCTGGTCGTGGCGTGGTTTGCAAAACAGGTAAGGCCGAGCATCAGACGTTAATGAGTCGTTTGGTGGCAAATCAAATAGATCCTCGGTGTGCATGCACGCCAACGGCTCTTGGTGCAGTGGTGTACAGCCATCCAACGTTTCTGTCACATCAACGAGCTGCTCGGTGGATTCAGTATGTGGAAAGAGTGTATGAAGGCTAGCCCACTGAATGCCGGCTTCCCCCTGGTTAACAGAGGAACGCGGGCTTGTAGGTGGAACAACGTCCTCCGGACCACCTCCAAGGGAAACTGATTTAGTTTCAAAACTTGTCTCATTGAGTTGCGATGCTTCTACTCTCCTAAATGCAGAAATTTCAGTATACCTGAACGTTACAAGGCGCTCATACCAGTTAAATATACACCGTTCCCTCCGAACAATCATGTCACTGTATTGTTTATCATCAAGCTGACAGGGCTGTGGCCTTTTGTTTCCCCTCTTGAATATTCGAACAATTGGGGGCCCAGGCGTAACCTGCACCTGCCTACACTCTTCTTTGTTAATATCAACGGAAGTCTCACGGCGCTCTGAGCCACCCGTAAAAAAGAGTTTGAAGCCTTTCCAGCCAGTTCTTGCGCGAAATCCACCAGGAGGAAGCACCTCTGTACGACGAGATTCAAATTTGCTCTTCAAATCTTCTTTCTTGTGCACTTTGGCGCGTGCTAGGCTTGAATGGGATTCTCCAGCAGTGTGAGAGTTGAGGGAGGCACTCACTGGTATCGCAAGGAGCGAAGCAGGAGCACCCTGCTTCTTAGCCTCACTTCTCAGCCATCTGTTAGGATTAGCTGCCGCCAAACCAGAAGCCAAACTTTTTGTCCGGAGACTGGAAGCGTCACTGCACTTCGAAAAAGTAGTATCCTTAGCAACAGAATCCTCGTAGGCGCGGTCATGCGGATAACCATCTACACCAACCTTTGATATCGCAGTAGCCTCTTGAGCCTCACCCTTATAAACAAATTCCAGAACGCTAGATATCCATGGGCTCTGCCCAGTGTTTCTGCAAGGGTGTAATGCGGCTTTACAATTACTACTTGCGCAAGGGCTTGGAATGCAGCCTTCTGCCAAACCACTCGACCAGTATTTCTGTTTTTCTTCGTGAGTTAAAGTTGGCCGGAGGTCTTGTACACCGACCGGCGCCCGTAATGAGTCGGCCAAGAGACCGCCACTGCTGCCATGGAAACGCCAGTTAGCCTTGGCCGACGTCTCTCTAGGGGTTGACATGCCAGGCTCACCCACAGTGCCACTTAAGCGTGAGGACACAGAAGCAGTCGGTGTTAGGCGACTAAAACGACGCTCCCCGTGGGCCGCCAGGAACGGTTTGTCTAGGCGCGACTTGAGATGCTGGCGGTGAAGCTGTATAGCACCTTGCAAAGAGGGACATGGATGGAGCTTCCGATGAACACGACCCCAAAGAGTGGCTCTTGTGTAACGCGCATATCGTTTTGTACAAAGATTACAGCGTGCCCAATTCGAAGCAGACGAACGACGGAACTCAACAGCGGGGTCTCCTAACGATGTAATGCAGGCGCTATCGCCTGTATCTCTAGGCACGCAGACGTCGACATGCCCGTGCTCCTCTTCTCCTTGGCTTATAGTGCGAAGATCCTGACCATACTTCGGGATGGAAGACGAGTTGGAACGATCCACACGTCCCCCACCTTTCGAGCTTTGGCAGACATGCCCACGAGCCGGCTTAATCTGTCCTCCTCCCCTGTTTGGCAGCTGTTGAGGCCCCGGTTCGCCAGTGTGATTGATTCCCTGGTTTTGTACTTCTGCCAAATTGAACCTTACAGCCGAGGCGTACGTCAGACAGTCGAGGTAAGGCAGAAGACCACGGGGACTAACAAGTAATACTTTGAGTGCTGTAACTCCCAAAAATCCGCATGCCCATAGACCTACGACAGAAAGCGAGGCTACTACAGCCACCATTACGATTTGTATTAACAGTACTAAACAACACGCAACTGCAGCGGGAGGCAAAATGCAACCTGCAATGACGATTTTTATTGCTGTGCACTGGGTGGAAGGCAAAATGCAGCAGCTCAATAGCTTGAAGTATTTCACAACAAGTAATTCTCCTAACACCAAACGCCTGGGAAACAACGTGCTGTGCCCTTCCTCTTCCTTGGAATTCACTGTAACATGAAAAAGCGTAGCAGCCTTCCAGGCTGCCCAGATGCCTGTGTTTCTAAGGTGACAACTGCAACAAAGTCCAAGAGCAATGCTTGGTAAGAAGATTGACAAGCATGCCAGCACGCCTGCAGCGACAAGTAATGGCTCTGCTCCTTCGAATTTTCCTGCCGCTGCTGCGAGAAATAACGTCATTGAAACTCTTGAGGCATAGTCGAAAACAGATATGGTGACGACGAACGCTGCCAAACAACAGCGGGTGAATGTCCGTCCGTCCCAACCGAAGCGACATTCCGAACGTCTCCGCCATGCATTAAAATCATAAGCAGAATTACTGCGTTGCACTGCGCCCGCGTGCAAATCTGGTGAACTCTTCCTGTTCATCCTATCCTCAGTCTTGGAGTCGCTTTGTGTTGGCGGCAATGCGGTGTTGAAAGGCACATCCTGTCTGGACTTTGGGGACATTTGCGCTGCACCGCACATACGCCGCACTCGATACGCAGACCATTTGCTGTACTTTCTATGCATGTAGCAAGCCTGAGCTCACCTCACCTTCCAGCAGCTTTGCCAAGGCAGTATGACCGAAAAGGCATGCGACATCTAGCGGTGTTAGAGATCTCTGCATCATCATAGAACAGCGAATTCGGTAGAAAATTGTGAACTCGGGAAGCTTCACAATGTTAGCTAGCATGTTTCAACGTTTGCGGAAGCTAGGTGCTTTCGCACAAAGGCAACAATGCACAACCGCAGTACGGGAAAGTTGACGCTTACAAAATCACGATCTTCGATGCTGCCTCCGGAGCTCAAGAGGAGTCCGATGATTCGTTTGTCCCCTTGTCTACAGGCCCAATGCATCGGTGTCCACCCACTTGCATCCACACCTCGAGGATCAGCACCTAACTGCAGAAGAAATTCAACTGTGGAGAAGTGCCCAGCCTCAGCGGCGTAGTGCAGTGGGGTTAGGTAACCGAAACCTGGGCCAAGAATGTCGAGCGAGGGGACCTTATGGAGTACTTGCTTCAGCAACGCGGTTTGACCCAATGATGCCAGTATGTGAACTATTGTGTTTCCTTTCTGCAAGGAGCACATATACGGCCACAAATGCATACAATGGCACTTCGCGATCCCTCGCGTGGCCTTCATCAACAAATATATCTCTGTGGAAAACTTATTCGATCGAAGACTATTGGCAAGCAGCACTGCAAAAACACAAGGGAAATACGTTCTTTCAACAATAACGAAAAGCGACACGGTTGCCGTACCGCATCTGCCACCTCAGTGTCCGCACCATTTTCTATTAAGAGCATCATCACCTCCACGTACTTTTGAGAAACTTTCGACTTCAATCTGAACCACACACCAATTACGGTTATCATGGAAAACCGCCTAAGCAGAACCCTCTGGAGGTGCAGGAGTTTCAATGCTACACGCTATTGTGCAATGACCCACGCGGCTAGCATCAAAGGGGTCCAGGCATTTGAGGATTCCAAAGGATCCACTGCCGCCTCATTCTGCATCCAGGAAAGCAGGAGGAAAAATAAGGGAAAAACACATCGCAAATTAATCCCGTCAACGTGCACAGCGTAAGGGAGAAAATTTGCTTTCACATGGGTGACGAGGGCAGCTGGAGACCCACTTCAAGAAGCAGCTTCACTATATCGACGTGCCCGCTAGTGGTAGCGTAGTGCAAGGGGTAGCGGTAACACTTCCCGTTGGATGCAAAGTTAGGGGTAGCTCCGGATTCCAAAAGCTCCTGTACTTCTTTCAAGTCTCCATCTTCACAGGCTTTGCATAATTTTGCTGTCAGCATTGTGAGTCTCCTGCAGCGACTGGCACATGGGGCCCGAAAGGCAGATAACAGCTTACACATTCTTACGAATTGAAATACTGGCGATGTAGTAATGCAGTGAAATGCTTGCAGCACAACGCTGCATTCCACTGCAAACATATCTACTTATCTATTCAACTGTAAGGCTGGACAATTATTTATATCTTACCATGGATGCCTTCAATTGCTGTTGTGTGCCTGGCCCAACAGGCCCCGCCAGCAAGTTGCAGCGTCAGAGCAGGCGTGGCCAAGGCTTTATGAAAAGCTAAGCCTAGTCCCATTTATGAACGGCCCTGTGCCTTGTCTGGGAATCAGTTGGTCCCGGGATCCGAATTCCCCGTGACACGGCCTACTGAGCAAGCGAAGAGAGATGGACTTCCCGCTGACATTCCTGGATCTTGTGTTCTCTTAATGACAAACTAAAGCTAGATGGTGGTAGCAATTCAGTGAAGGAGCTCGTGGAGCGAGCGTTGCACAGGTCAATTTCGTCAGCGGCTACTTTGCCTATGACCGCCCAATACACAGCAACCAGAGATGCAAAGCACACCCCGGGGACAACCTACTCTAAAAAAGCTGAATAATTCTTCAAAAATTTGCGAGGAACTCTGGCATTGGTGGCTTCTGAGCCAGCATGCCTTAGAACATACAATGATGAAGGACCCACACAATGTCGGCCGTGGCAGCTGCCCAAAGAGCTACTGGTCAATTGAGACCAATTGAGCATGCAAATGCTTCATGAGAAGAACACGATGCACTAAAATTGTATTATATTTAAACATATGAAGTCTTCATCTTCAGTGCCTTGGTTTGCCCAAAGATGTCTTCTACCAACTTGGTGTAGAGTACGGTCATTCGTTCAGGCCAATGTGACCACACATGAAAAGGGACGAGCTGGAGTATGTCAGGAACGCCCCTCACGCATTTTCTAGTCCATGCTCCGGAGTTTTTAGGCTCAAGGCAATCGCATAAATACATGGAGGGATTCCTCCTGTTGATACGGGGTTTAGTGAGCAAGGCCTCGTGTAATGCTGAGGCACTACAATGGGGCTGACTAGTGTCCTAGGGATGATAGCTAGCTAGCGACCTGCAAGGGGCCGCGACACTGGAGGGGGATAGGACCCCCCCAATACATGAAAAAATAAGAAAAAGCGTTAGTCAGTAACCGGAAATCGTGTGGAGACTGGGGCTGGCGATAGCGCCGGCACCAATGCGGACCTCCCCCCTAGGGCCTGGGGGGTAAGCTCCGAGAAGGGAGCGAATCGAAGAGAGAGATTACAGACACCTTTTGAATTGTCGTATTTCGACGGAATAAAGCTATAGAGACCGAGGAATGGGGCTATTCCAGGTGTAGTATGTAGACCTGTAGAGGGGCAGGAAACAGCGTAGTCGCAGCAGTAGGCGCCGCGCACTACACCTCGCCTCACTTCCACATGGTACTCTTCGTGCTACTTGTAAGCACTTTCGGACCCAGATATGGTCGAGGAACTCAGCTGGACCGCTTAAAACCAAAGTACCAAGTCTGCGTTTCTTCAGGCCGCTCCGAGACCCTCAGTGGCCCTCGGTATGCGTGTGTCTTCGCCTGCTGCATCGGTGAGACAGCTAACCCCTATCCCTGGCCTTCCAACCAAACAACCTAGACAAAGTCGAGTGCAAAAGCTAGGTTTGTTTAGCCATAAACTTTCTAATAATGCAACATGCGTAGAATGTTAATCGTTGCAATCTTGTGGATTGTCCTCTTGCCACATTGCAGTGCTACTGACTACACGGGAGAAGGCGGCCCCAAAGCCTTTCCAAAGCGTTCAAATATCAACCAGCTAGAACAAAAGCTTCCCGCGGAAAACCGCTTTTATATAGGTAGCTAACGTGCTCTTCGCTTGGCCTAAGACCGTGTTAAACTCCGCAAGCAACCTGGGGGACGGGACATGTGACTCCTTGCACCCTTGAAGTATTCGCATTACCAGAGGACCAAAAGGAAACAGCATGAGTCCATGTACGCCCCTCCCTCCAGGAAGCTTCCTTTAGAGGAAGATGGACAATGTAAACCGGTGAGCTTGTGCCACTGTTGCAATTTATATCAGTGTCTGTGCAGCGGGCCCATAGTTTGACTGGAAGTCGTCATGGTTTCCGCCGTTCCCACTGTTACCTTATATTTGCCGTGATTTTCCCCATTTTCAGGGCTAAAGCAAAAGCTACAGCTGCTGCTCTCCTCAAGGATGAGAGCTTCATTGTCAAGTATCCCGCGCTGGCCAGGGCTCTGAAGGAGTCCGTGGAGCCGCCGGATAGCGGCGATGACAGCGACGCCTCTCGTCGTACAGCAGTGCAGCCAGCTGGACAACAAAGTGCAGAATCGCTTGTGCAGCCAACACCAGATGCGCAGCGTGCAGGGCCACAGCTAGGAAGCCAGCAGCTTGCAGTGGCTTCTTCCAGCCCCACGGCTGACTCGAGTGCTCAAGCATCCTCTGGCACCGGGGTAACGGCACAGGACCCTGCACAGGGCTCCCAGGTGCCCACAAAAACTAAGTCTGATGTATCCTCCACAGGAGGCGAAGGCGATGCTAGCGCGTTAAACCAGACTACAGCGGAGCAGGTGTTGCAGAATGCACCTGATCACGTAGGACAGTTGCCAAGCAATGTTGCGCCTAGGGAGTCCCTTGGGCAGAATGCTCCAACAATCGCATCTGCTACAGCCGAGCTTAATGCACCAGTTGGCGAGAAACCGTTGGATCCTCCGCTGCACTACATGAAGCGGTGAGAAAAATAGGCACAAAAAATAGTAGGAACCCTTTCATCTTTGTACATCCACTTCACGCGTCAAAATGGCTGCAGCAGGAGGCCCTTTTCAACTATAACTTTTATCATTTTACATTCGCAGGCTGGAGGAACTGCAACAGGGGTACATGCAAATCATGCAACAGCGCAACTCAGTTGAACTACAGTATCACCTTTTGCATAAGACAGGACGTCCCCTTCTGGGCGCTCGCCCCGCAGGCACTCCAGCTCTAAGTTCGTCTCCTTCGTTCATGCTTCCAAGCACTTCTGCCCGCCCGCTTTTTCCTAATGCGGCAGATGAATGGCGACAAGGCACGCTAGAACAGCAACAACAGCAGCAGGCAATTATGCAGCTTCAGCGAACTGGTGTCCCTGCAATGTCACTTTTTGGTCATGGCCCCCCTCGAGTGGCGCCATGGACGCCGCCAATCAGCATCGCTACAACGCTGCCCGCCTCAAATGGGCAAGAGACCTTAGCAGACCGCACCGCCTCTCTGTGGCAGCTTCAGCAGCACTTGCATCCCGAAAAACCTCGTCCAACAGTAGATCCTGCAGTTCTGTATGAAAAAACAGGGATGGACCTGGCTGTCCAGCATTTGAGAGACCAAGCAGAGCGCATGCACAACCAAAGCCGCGAGATAACAAGGGCAATTACACAGAAGAAACAAGAAGCAGAGCTTGAAGAATTGAGGGAGAAGCAGGCGCACCCGCTTTTGACGGAGCTCACTTCAGAACAACAGCGCCTTATTGAAGAGCAGCTACGTTGTATAGATGAGGCAGGTTCAGATTTTTGCAAACGGGTAGCAGCCACCGAATTCTCACCAATCCCAGCATCACGGTGAGGGGACATAAGCGCTTTGCTGCGCTTGCATACGACTCAGGCTCGCGGCGAGATTGCGCTTGCACAAGCGGAAGCCGCGCGCATTGAACAGAGGAGCCGGGATGCTTTTTACCATGCGGCATATGCGGAGAAGTACGAGCTCATTTTACTAGATAGATCTGCAGTAGCTCAGGCTGTCTGCGGCAGGGCCATCGTGTACCCTTTTGTCTGGAACGTGTGCAGAAGCGCTAACCTTCCTACGCTTGCATCTGGTGCCTCATGCACGTGTCGAATTTCTGCTGTGTGTCAATCACCTTGTCAGTGCAGACCCGGAAATAGTTAAATTACATGCGGAACGTATGAGAGAAATTTCCACTATTCAAGCGACAAAGCTCCTGCCAACACAATCTTTAACAACGCGAGCTGTGGCCGAGTGTCTCTCTGACCCTCTGGAGGAAATGGCAGAGCGTAACGTAGACTTCAGAGAGGTACTTTGAACTCATGTCGTTCTCCACTATGTAGCTCATAATCAAGGAAATGGCGGAGTCACGGCATCGAGTCAAGAGTCTGCTTTTGGGTGTTTTGCTTGGAATCATAGTGTTCGATAGGAAGCTTAGCCCCCGAACTCTTGAGCTTTTCGCTTTTTGTGTCTGTGTGTAGCAAAGACTTTCCGCTGCGGCTGCTCAACTTGCTGTTTCGCGCATGTTGCGTAACTTGGGCTACAGACAAGACGTCGAGGGAGGCGTTCCCGTACGGCGTGGAGATGGCCCGGCTGTATACAAATCCAAGTGAGGCCTATTTTCTTCTACGCTCTTAAGAAGCTCTCTGACGAAACACTGCTTCTCAGTAGCAGCCGGATGTGCCCGTGTGTGTTGTCCAACGGATGTTAGTAAAGAGTACCTGGCGCACAGTGTTTGTGAAGTCGCTACACCTTTCAGGGCCTCTTCACTTATTCAGCGTTATAGAGCTGGAGGGAAGTTCCTGGTGTATTGGACTTTCGGTAGACACAAACATAACGTTTTGCACGGCCTGTTGCATTCGGCGTGTTGCGTACAGATTTCCTGGTATGTATCCTGAGCTGGAATATGCAAATGCACTCCCTATAAGCCAGCAAGGGAGACGTGAATTGTACCTGAAAATGCAACAAGATGATGGCAAAGTGCGTAGCTTTGGGGATTTTGCTGAGGAAGCGAACGGAAAAGATGCTGAAGGCTTGGGGAGACTACTCGAGAGAGACGAGCAACTGATGGAACAACAGAGAGAAAAAAGGCAAGTGGACGATGAGTGGGCCAAGCTTTGCCTAAGTAAACTCCATTCAAAAAACCTTGCTATCCAGGAAGCTGAAGAGGCGCGTGCACAGGCTGAGGAAGCTAGGAAGAATTTGGAGGAAATGCGTAGGCGGCAGCAGGAACTCATAGCCGAGAGGGATGCTATGAGCGAACTAGCTAGACGGCACGAGGAAGAAGCAGCCCGCGCCCTGGAAGAAGCAGAACGGCAAGCAGCTGCAGCGGCCGCAGCAGCTGCGGCAGCTGCAGCTACAGCACGCAAAGCTCCAAGCCGATCTCCTACGCTGACGGTCGAAGCAGCTGCAGGAGGTGTGCCGCGGCGTACTGGCTCTGCACTTAGCCGATCACGCACAGTTTCAATGTCTCGAGCGTCCTACTCACCAACAGAGCATCAGGTTAACGCTCCTAGTCGAGCACAAAGCAAAAACCTGCAACTCGGCAAGACTATTCACGACTCATTTGAGATTGCCGCCCCAAAACGCCTTCTTACTGCTATTCCGCAGCAGGGTAGGCGTAAAGGAGAAATTTTGAACAATGGTGAGTACGGAGTCGTGGCTGGCTTGGACCGATAAGTTCGGTTCCGTGGTCGTTCAAATAACAGCGATGTAGGCAGCACTGGATCAGTAGACCACTGTTACGCCGCATTCAGCTAGTGGAGGTGCTTGTGCATTTTTCCAGCTATTTATTTTCACAAGCATTAGGAAATTATGTGTCGAAAAATGCGCATTGATTGTGATGCTTTTGAGCGTCGCAGCTCTAGCAGAGAGACTTCCACCATACAGATGCGAAGAATTTGTTTTCTTGTCCCCTCCAGTCGAAGCTACCCCGGCCAAACTGAAGTTCTTGTATGGGCAGCTAAAAAAAGTTTTTTCTTCTGGGGAGGTGCAACCACACCTGAAACTGCAGCTTGGCAGCTTAGAAGCAAAACAGCTACAGCCTGCAGCCGTTTCTTGACTCTTGGCTTCTTTTGAAATTTCCGTCAGTTGCGCTTCAATGGGCATTACACTATTTCAGTCTCTGTACTTGCAACTTCTTGATGCGCCCTACGGTGGACTTGTCTTGTGTATCATACTGCGCAGCTCGGCAGCAGTGAGCACGTACAATTGGTGTACGACTTCGCAGTTGGCTGCTGCCAGGAGTTTGTTCGGAACGATCCAGTTTCTCAGGTACTCCCGTCTGCAGCGATGGCAGAGTCACAAATCATGGTGACAAGCAATTCTGAAATTTCAGGGTGCACTGTGCTTTAGTATTCGTTTGCCCACAGGAATACGCGAATGCTCTCATACAGTCGTTGCCCTATTATCCGTACCAGATTGACATTCAACGAGCAGGAATTATCGGACTTCTCAATATTTTTGAGTGTAAGTAGGGCACTTTAGCATTTAGATTACTCAACAACAGCTTGAGGGAATTTTATCACAGTTCCGCTGCTTGAGCTGCAGCCAGCTGGCTCTCAATCGTCTGCGCTGAGAATGAGATAGCCACCGGCTACGCATGCGCTGTGTCCAGCATCCAAGTTCCAGGAGCATCTTGCACCCCCGATCTTTGAAACATTGACCACGCTTATGGCGATAGATGACAGGGAGTTGCGGTCAGATATTGTTGCGGTCATGGCAGCAGTTATTCGTCCGAAGGTAACAAAGTAGTATCTGTGGTGCCACTGTTGTTCTCAGCTGATAGTTGCCACTGTAGGATTCTCTCGGCATACAGCCTACATTTCTGTCAATCATTTTCATTCCAAGTACGGCAGTGGGTGCTTGCAGGTTGTCATCAACACAGATTTGGTGGACTTACTTCTGCAGCAAGTCGATGAATCATCCGAGTCTGAGATCGTCGCTTTCTGCATTCACATCCTAATCGTCGCCCGCTCACCTCACAGGAAGAGCGCTCAGTACTGCGCCTTCCTGAAGGCTCTTGGAAAATGGAAGCATGAGCCAACCGTCTTAACAAGGTAAATAGAGTCGCGTTTGTTTCCAGACGGCTTCCCGTTCTGCCTGCTACGTGTATTCACGGAAGTGCTGTCTTTCAATTACTGACTTAAATGCGCAGTAAAGGTTTTTCTTCCAGTCATCATGATGCGAAATATATAAGCCTTTGGACAACTTTGTCACTGCTCGATTAAGCTCACTGTTCTTCATGGGTCTTCAGGGCGTGCTTAGCAATCGATGCAGCCGGGCACAGGGCTCAGCTTGAAGGCTTGGCAGCTCATGAACGCAAAAAACAAGCGAGATCTGGCCAGCGCTTGGAAGAGGGTGAGAAAGTGCTTCTGAATTCGCCATTGTCTTGATTTTATCGTTGGTTTTTCACCCGCTTTATGTGGGAGACTGTTCTTTCGTGTGTAATATAGGCTATGAGCACCTAAGAAGGCCGCCAAGTTATGGCGAGGAGCTTCAAGTAGTCGAGTCAGCCACACCAAAATGGATGCCTGACGATGCCAGCGACGTGGATAAGGTGAGAGGATAGCCTTTAGGCTCATAAAACCAGCTAACCCTGGAGCGTCTCAACAAGAGAGAAATAATGACTGGAATTGCTGTCTGGCGCGACTCAAATGAGTGCTGATCCTTTGGTTTGGTGCTGTGTCTTCGCCAACTCAGGTTCTGGAAGTCATGCAGCTACACGCAAACAATCGGAAGCTTCAAGGTGCGGCATGCCAGGCGATTGCCTCACTTGCGCGTGCTTCCCTGCGTCACTGCAAACATGTGGCTCAAAATGTAAGCGTGACCTTGACCGCTTTTCATCTTGAAAGCTCGAAGAGCGTGTGCCTTACACTGACGTTTTTGACACTCTGGCTGCATGCTGTGCATTGCAGGCATTTCCTCTTCTGTTGTCGGCATCGTCTACTCACCCAGAGAGCCAAAGTGTCGCAAGTGGTTTTGCCAATACAGTTGCCATTGTTGGAAAAGTGAAGCAATGCAAGTATGTGCATACACTACAGCGTGCGAGGGGCTACGAGAGGTGAAGTGCTGTGTGGTGGGCCTCTGAGGATTTTGCACGGAAGTGAGCTCACAAATGTGGCTTGATACAGGGCGTCACTTACGCAAGAAATGGTCGAAGAAGTCCAAGCAGCTATACAGCGCCACCGCTGCGTGCCTGAGGTCATCAGCGCATGCTGTTCAGCACTGACAGTCCTCGAACCTTTCTATTCTCCCCAAAGCGAAGTACGGCGTTTAGGGTCAATGCAAATATGAACTGCTGCACAACCACAAGAGGAGCAGTCAGTGTGAACGCTGGAGCGGAAGAAAGCTAGCTAGTGTAGTTGTGCAAATTGGGCGTGTTATCTCCCATGCGTGCTTTCTGCGAAGGTATTCGGCCGGCTGACACTGAGCATCATCATCAGTGCCCTGAGGGATAGCAAGGATGCATTTATGCTCTGCGCGAACGTGAATGAGTTCATTGCAACGTTTAGCTATCACGTAAACTCCCTGGTGAGTCATGCGGAGCCTTACTAGCTCCCTCGAAGTGAAGCAGACAGCACAGGAGTGTATATCACAATACATACTCACATATGGCTGCAGAACTTTGTGGAGCAGCTGCCACTTGACTGCTGTTTCCCCGAAACCTTAGACGCGCAGGATAATGCAATATGTTTATGCCGCTGCATCTTTGCGTGGCTTCCGAATGCTGATTCAGGCTGACGCAAGAAGAAGGGCCGTGGAACTAGGGGTGATTGAAGCAATTATCAAAAGCATGACAGCTTGCGCTAACGATGCACTGGTCAGTCACTTCTTCATAAACCGCAACGCGACTTACTGACGCCTGCGGCGATTTCGATGCAGATAACGTAGTATCTGCTCTTGGGCACAACGATTGAGCGTGTTTTTTGCCTATAGGTGTGTGCATATGGCTGCCGTGCCATATCTCGTCTAGTGTACAATGAGCCGGACGAATCCAAGATCTACACCGAGCTCATGAAGGCAAGAGCAATGACAACATTCCTATTCGTCATGTTCAAGCACTGCGCTGAGTCTTGCCTCGCAGAAGACGCCCTAAGGTGTACTGCAAACTGTGCCGCAAACGAAGTATGCGCGTCCGCTGTTCTGGAGCGCGGTGTGAATGTAATATGTAAGGTAGGTTCTCTGTATGACTGCTATGCAGACCCTTGAGGCAAGTTGAAGTGATATGCGGTGTTCGCAATGTGCTTTTATAACTGCATATTAATTTGAGTGCATTGAAATCGCCTGCAGGTGGTGTCCGCGCATTCCGGTAACATGGAGGTCGTGGCACAGGGATGCCGCTGCCTTTGGCTGCTGTCTTCACAACCTGGTCTTCAGCAAATGACAATGAATCGTGGCGTCCTGCTGATTGAACATGCTGCAACAAAGTATTCCGCCACAGGCGACTCGAAGCAGCTGGTGACAGATTTTTTGCTCCGCATCCTGAAAGGGGAAGGTGTGGCACGCCAGAGCATTGACCCACTCTGGGACACCGGTCTTGACACCTTGGGCAAAGTTGAAGCGTTGTCGCCGCGTCTGGACGTCCCGGCTAAACAATCGCGTCCACGAGACGGTGCCTCTTTGGCCAGGCAAATGACAGCAGCGGCGAATGCCCCTGTAAGCGCAAGGGGCCCGATGCCCCTCCACATGTAGCGGAACTCGTGATTCTAAACGCGCATCCAAGTGGACGTGGATTTCAAGGTATAGTGATGCAGCTGATGGGGTGGTATATGGGGCTTTCCGAAGGGAAGTTATTGATAGTCAGTGCTGTTGGCTGCGACATGCGTTATAGTTTACATAAGATGCCTCTACTACATCGGAGCGAACCGGCATCTGCAGTTGCAGAGGCTTTGTCGCACTAAAAGATGATTACTAAAGCAGGTTCAAATTGGCTTGTGGGAAGGCTCTGCAAGCAGCAGTGTACTGTTCAGCGGTGATAACTGCACCATTCAAGAAAGCGAAGCTGAGCAATCAAATTGTCTTCGCACTACACCATGCCGTGTCGTAGGCCACTAACTCACTCCGTGCATAGCGTACTCTCTCAGATTATGTTTCCGCAAGTATGCCATTTCAACCTACAAGGCGTATTCACGCTGACATATCCTATGAACTCCACGAATCTGAAGAAAACCAATAGCTTGAAGATATTATCCTGCGCTACGACTATGGAGAAGTGCCTGTCTGTTCCTTCCACATTCGTCATCTCTGACAAAATTTCCTCAGAAAAGGGCAACGCATGCAAATGCACTAGAGAAAAGCACGCGTTTCAACCTTAAATATTGTGCTAACAAAAAACGATGCATTTGATTAGCAGACGTTCACTTCTAGTTCCAGGAAAGGCTTAGGTGAGCAACACTGACTTCACCAAGCCTCCCGCGATTGCATTGATGCCCCCAAGTAGCATCGCTGGACTTAGGACGGCCATAAAAGCCCGCTCATTGTGAAGTATGTCGCCGTCTTCTTTCTTGGGGTTGTTAGGACTTCTAGGCACCTTCTGTGCCTCCCACGACGGGCAAACAAGTAAGCGAGGTAGCACCTCTAAGGGTTGTACAGATCTGCAGAGCAGCGTTACTGGGGGCACTTTTAATGCTATGGCATCCGGCAGGCCTCCCCCTAGTTGCTGAGCCTGCACAAAGTCTAGACCCAATACAAAAGCATTTGGAAATGCCTGGAAGAGACGTCGCAGGAACCGCAGTAATATATACCTCCGTATACAAACCTTCGAGCCCACAGCTCGCAACAGCAGGTCATCCAATACAGCTGCTGTTTCAGGGGCTGTGGGTGAAAGATTGAATTTCTCTCGAGGAAAGTGGACAGATAAATCTTCGGATCCTCCCTGCAAAAGGCCACCAGTAATGGGCTCTCTACGGTGGTCCTCCGGATCTTTGTTGAAGGCTAAGTTTGCGAAGCGCCTCTTCTTCTGCGGCGCTGTCACATCTGGCCGCGCCTCCGAAGTGGCCAGAGGATCCTTCAGTCTTAAAATAATGTCAAACTGGCGCCAGTCAGTTGTAAATAGTCCCGCCCATGCGGCTGCCAGCTGCGCGGAAGTTATGCAGCTGACACGAATCTTTTTAAAGCAGTCTCTGCGCCAATCAAACAACCCAAACAAATGCTATTAAGGCATGCACGCAACCTCAAGAAACTGCAGCTGCTGACAAAGGCAAATGAGGGCCTAGTTGTGCTTTATACGTGCGTCTGCCGTGCTCTTACCGGGCACATCCAATGAGACGACGAAACGATGGGGGGTTTGGCCGCGGAAGAATGAACCCATGTGGATCGATCACCGAGTGCACAGACGGGGTATGACGGAAGCTGCAGGTGGAGACATGGAATGCATCGCGCACGCCGGTACAGCGTAGGCCGGCAGTACCACTAAGCTTGGCAGTGGAGCCAAATTGAAGTCCATGGCATGTGTTTAAAGACTCTGCCAACATGCAGACATCTGCGTTTCTGCCCACCGTCATAGGCATCTACACCAGCTAAGTAGGATACATCTTTGCGCCGCAGCTGTTCATACTTACTGCTCAAAGGATATCTGCATCTTTTGTCGCTGTTCTTCAGTAAGTGGAGCAGCGGGATCAAACGAAACAAGCAGTGCATTATGCTCCCAATCAAACGAGCTTACAAACTGAAGAAACCTGAGACGATAACGCGAATTTCCCTACACAAGGGCTCAGGCCCACAAGTTGATCCCGAATACCGTGAAGCCGCCACCAGCATATGGTGGCGTCCCGCCTGGAAGTGGAAGTGCAGTAAAAGGACAAGGATACAAAGTTCCACTTGGTGGGACTTACCGAAGAAACGCCACGTGGGGAGTCTGAGGCTCATCGCCATAACCCGCACGCAGATAATCGACAAAGAGGAAAGCCATAACATGCTCGACAAAGTGCACCGCGCCAACCACCAGTTGCTTGCTGAGCCAAAGAACTGCCAGTCGCACGGCACCTGTTCGACAAAATCATAAGTGGCACAAGAATCCAATAAACATTTGCAAGCAGCCTATACAGGGCTCATCTTTTAATTAGGTGCGGCTCCTGCAGTATGCCGACTGAAAAACCCGCCACGGGATGGAGGTTGAGTTAGATATTTATGGGGCCTTGCGTGCTTGCGGGTTGCAAGTAACCCACTCCTGCTTCACTGCATTTCCTACCTGCAAATGCCGTGTGCTTCAGGGCCAGGCTATGCAGCAGTGCCGACGCTTGCGGCGCCCACCAAAGACTGCGGAGGTGCAACACTTGATCTTTGTGGTATGGGTTGATCGCAGACAACAGTGCCACGTCTTCTTGAAGTAGCATATCGCAGACCTGCTTAGCCGTTGTCTGGTCGTCGGGCAACGCACCAACGAACGTTAAAGTCTCTTTACCGTTGCTCCCAGAGCCAACCACCGCTTTGCCCAGATGAGATATAATGGGCTTGAGGGAAAAGTCTGTGAAGATATTTGCCTCTTCCATGACTTCGTTCGGGTGAAATATTTGAACACGGAAGATGAACGATTGAAAATGAACATCTAAATAGGATTCCATTACATTGCTTGAAACAGAATAATCGCGTAGCAACTCCTCACTGCGAAAAACACCATCCATGGAAACAGACATGCACCCCTTCTGTGCATATTGCAATGAAGTTACGAGCTCAGACACTTTGCCTTTAAGCGAATAGGTGAAATAGAAAGCTTAGTTCTGCTCTACGTAATTTGAGTCCAGAAGAGCATGTTAACCATGCTTAGGTCGCAAGCAAGCAGTGATTCCCCAAGAAGGCAGTCGTACTTCATCGCTACTAGGAAGGCGGCCTTCAGCTTGCACACAGCTTCGCGCTCCACAGGCCACTTGCCCGAGTCTTCAAACTGGACCACCACGGAGTGCACAGTGGCAGCTGAGCAGTGCGCAAGAGATCATGAAAAATCGCAATAAGCGGGTATGCTCCAGTCAGCTTGCAACGTACGCTGTTGCGGCTTCTGCTTGAACATTGCTGTAGATATAAGGTTCGACTGCACACGGGTTTTCAGCACACTCTGGCTCTGGGCAGAGGGCGCAAACAGCACGTACGTACCATCAGCTGATTCTGTTTCCCATATGTTTGAAGTGGAGACTTCAGTGTGCCGCAGAGCAGCATCCGAGTGCCAAACTTGCTTGATGCTCAGTGGAGTGGAACTCAGGGCGCATAGCACATTCTTCAGTTCCGCGAATGCCTGTGCAATACCACATATCCATAAGCTTTGGAAATGATGTCACATACCACCACTTTCGTGCGCTCGTCATCCAAAAAATGCATTATTAACACCACCTTTCACAAGAAACATACTCAGGGGATCACAGCCCAGAAGCTACATTGCTGAATAGCCCACTCGTATAAGCGCCTTCTGCCTCTCAGACAAAGGCCCATTAGAACCCAGTGGGCTGCAAAGTATGTTGAATGCCCGCCGATGTTTTTGTCTCCTGGGAGTTGCGGACAGCTCTGTCTTCGTCAAAGTTGCCGAATACTCACAGATGCCAGCAGCGTGGCGCTCCAGCACCGCTCGTGTAATCTGTTCTGGAGGCGATTGCGCTCCCACAGCCCCCTCTGCGCCCCTTTCAAGCCCGGCCGGTCCCTCTAAAGCAGCAAATTTTTCCCATAGCACGCAGTGAAGCATGCGTCCATCTTGGAACCGACGCACATCGCACCGTGGGCCCCAGAATTTCCTGAAAATGTGAAATATTACTCCGAAGAACAGAGATGCTGCATAGTGGCTAGTTGCAAGTACGCAGTACTCGATGACCCGCGAGGTGCATACCAGCAAAAAGCAGCCAAAGCTTTCTGGTTCAGCGCGCATCTCTCTACCTCCCAGACTGTCAACGCTTGGGTGGTGCATGCGACACCTTGGTGCCATACCTGAAGCTGTCTGCAGCGATGGCATTTGGCGTTCGCGAAGCCGATTCTGTCGAATCCACCAAGGGAGGCCCTCGGTCTAACAACCGGGAGTATGCTTTCCCGTTGAGCGTAATTGAGACCAATAAACCCACAGGGCACGCGTCTGCTGCGCTCCCTGCATGCGCACAACGAGACAGCCGCTGTGTAACTTAGCACGACCTGCAAGAGCAGCAATGGAGCCACATCTTAGGCTTTGGCCCGCGCCTCATGAGGCGTGTGCGGAAAATTCACGTGACTTCCTCACTGCAGCCCAAGGCACTGCCTCACCTTCACGCGAAGCACCTGTCGGTGGTCCAGCGAGCGAAAATCGGATGCGAAATGTCTGCAGGCGGTTGCCCAGCCCTCTTACCAGCAGGCGCGCCACAGTGCCAGCGCCTAAGAAGGCTGGACACGCTTCCCATTTAGGGGGATCTATATGTATAGGGGCATCAACACAGGCATCTTCGTGGGGTGGACCTTGACCTATGTGACGCAGGTCTGGCTGAGGGGGCTCGTAGTTGGCAACAGGGAACGAGGCCTCTACATCGTATGCATTCCCTCGAGGAGGCAAAGAAGGAATTTGTACCCACAAGTCCGATTTCAGCAGTAACTGCTCCTGCTGTTCACCAAATAATGGCAAAAAAGGGTCGTCAAGAGTTTCCAACGTGGTCAGGCTTATCTGCGCCTCCTGCTGGAGCTCCTGCGAAAACAGCGTGACGAAGTACTCCTGCCCTCGTGTTCAGATAAGCTATACGCAAACTGCTAAGTTGAGGAGTGAATTACGCAGGGCGAGTATTCCCATCAAGTTTCTTAGCCTAGAGCTCAGGGTCCTCCTTCTGTCATTTCCCCCATGTGAAAACTCCACTGGACTTATCTTCGAGCGGTAGCCTCTAGCCACTTAACCACTTAACACGAATTTGGCGCGGCTACGCACCTGAATGTGCAACTGAGCGCGCCATAAAATGTTGAATGTCTTCTCTTCGGAGTCGAAGAGGAACGCGTCTTCGACGAGGCCAACACAGAGCTCGCTGCGGCCCCATTGGGGAGTCTGCACAAGTTGCTGCTGGCCCGCTGCAGCAGCAGCTGAGGCCAGGTTAGCTGCGTCTGCAGCGTCGTTGCGCGCAGCTACCGCCGCAGCCAGCACTGCTGCAGCCGCCTCCGGCAGAGCCGTCTTAGGCTGCCCCGCCTCCTCTCCAATGCAGTAGAAGTGACCTTGGAAGTCTGCGCGTCCTATGAAGGACAGGGCCAACTTGAACAGCTGCAGCGGAGTAGCCACTCGAGCCACATCCGCAGAGGCCATACACACGTGCGCAAGAATCAGAGAAAGCGTGAAGCCGCAGCAGGCACCTGCAGCAGCGCAGCAAGCCAACAGCACTCCTAAGACAATCTACCACTTCTACAAGACACTGCAGCTGCAGCTGCGCCGCAAACGCAGCTCGCAGCAAGTTCCTGCGCTGCTGCGAAGCAAATATTGAATTCGAAGCAAATAATCAAACTAAGAGCTGCTGCCTGCCTGAGGGGAGGCTGGAGGCTCCACTAGCCAGCAGCGCGCGGCGTTTGGCCCAGGCTTTGAGGAGCAGGGCGGAGCTAGCGAAGGCAGGAAAGTCTTTGGCGCATTTTCGAAGAATCTTCGCGTGCCGAAAGAACCTAAGCAACAGTGACAGCCAAAACCAAAGAGCCGGAAGCCTCGTGGGGGCCCCATCAGCCTCAGCTTTCCCAGTAAATGCTTGAGACAGAGGCAGACTTAGCCTCACCGGGAGTCCTCAAGCACGAGGCCATTGTAGTAAGGCGTGGGGGGCAGCGCCTTGACCTGAGCCTCTGTGAGATGCGCCTCAGCAGTACTTGAATTTGGGACTCCCCGAGTGGCTGTGGTTCTGCGGCGGACGGCGTTGGCGTCGGGCCTTAGAAACTTCTCTCTGAAGAGGCCGCTGCAGTAGGCTGGGAAGAGCCGCACCTCCCATTTCTGCAGCTGCCGGATGGCGCGGTCCCGGTCTTTCGTTTCTTCGTCATCTCCAGCAGCAGCAGCAGCAGCAGCAGCAGCAGCAGCAGCGGGGAGCTTGGCCGCCTCTGCTGCCACGGGAAGGAACCTGAGGCTTATGAAGGTCTTCGTGTTGTCAAAGCGCCAAGGCAGCACCGAAGCTTCCACCTTCAGGCGGCCTTTGCACACACTGGCCCATTTCCACTTCTTCGGGAGCTCTGGGGAAGCCAGCGCTGCCTGCAGCTGGCTATGCACAGCGTCCACCAGCCCGGCGCGTTTCGCAAGGTAACTGAGAATGCAGCAGAACGCAAAGAGCCAAAAGTTCCTTGCAATGGCGCAAAGGATCCCCTAAATGCATGCATTTGATCATTCAAGTTTGGAGCAGAAAGCAGCGGGAGCCCAGGTGTCCAGACACCCCACGCACCGGTAATTCAGGTAGTCCCGCTTGTCTAAGGCGTCTGCAGGCAGTTCAAAAGCCAAGTCTAAGTTGCGGGCAAAAGCAGGAGGCCCCAACTCTGCGCCGCAGCTGCCAACGAGCTGCACCTGTGAAGGCTTGGGGGCGGTCCATATGGGTGGCGTTGCTTTTGCATTGCCAGGAACTCTGCTGAATAAGGCTTGCGCTGTTTGCGAGACGGCGAAGTTTCCTTCCTTCTTAGAAGGCTCAGTGAGGTGGATCTGAACAGGCTGATAGTCATTCAAGAGAAAGTTCTCCAAAAATGCCACGAAGTCTCGAAGCACAGACGAGGACAGGCCTACGCCCGCAGCCGGGACAGCCACGCGCACGCCCTGCTCCAGAGCCTGCAGCTGCAGCTCCAGCAGGCTTGCCGGGGCCCGGAGCCCCTCTGGCCCTGTGGCCAAGGCCTGCTTCTTCGAGCCCCCTTCTTTCTTCCCCGCCAGGCCCTTCATGTTGCCAAGAACGGAAGGGAGGCGCCCTTACAGAGCCACAGCCAGGGACCTGCAGTAGATCCTGGCTAGTTTGTGAAAATTGCTCTTCTGAAAACGCAGGAGCTCTAGTTTAGTGAGCTAGGCATCCCCAGGGGAACCTCATATCTCGAGACTTCTGCGACGGCCGCAGCAGGCTAGGGCAGAAACTGTTATGTTGGGCATGCCTCTTACTCCTGTGGCAGTGATAGAGGCTCAGCACGCAACTTTACTATATTTTACATGTTGGCTGTAGAGGAAAATTGCAAATCCCTTTGCTGGTGTGGGGCTGAAGCCCCGATGCATGCTCAGGGAAAAGGGGGCCAGTCCTTGTGCAGGTCACCCGCGTGGCGTAGTTGAAACTCCTCTTTGAAACTGTCAATTAGCATATTATTTTATCAAACATTCAGTTATTTGCAAAGCGGGGGGCAGTGGAAGTAAAGAAGACTGGGGCGGCCTTCGGAAGCGCAGAAAGCTGGGTAGGCGGGCGCCACGGGACAGTGCCTTAATGCTATGTGCAGGCCCGCGGAAGTAAACGAGCAAAAATCCCGATGTTCAACTTTAAACTTCAACTGATACTGGGAAATATTGTTTACGGAGAATTATTTCAAACATATTTGTACCCAATTCGTGCAAGAATTCATTGCGCAGGTTCCACCGCACGCAGTTCCACATCGTGGCACAGTTGGAGCTACCTTGACTTAGTTAGTACATTGAAGTTCTTCAAGCTCACATTCTTTATTGCTCAGAAGTATAATTGTGGCCTCAAGAGACATTAGTTTCGACAGCTAAACAGCATTAAGGGTTGTTCCTGCGCCCTCAGCAGCAGGTGGAGAGCTGGTTTTACGTGGAGTAGTGTTATAATATTTATCGCGTAAATGAAAAATACAGACTGACATGTCTTCTTACTAAAGACACAATGCATCATGGACCTTGTAGACACAATGCAGCCTTCAGTGAAAATCAGGTAGCAACTGCTGGCTGCTTCTAACATTCTATTTGCTTTGCATGGATGTCGATATGCATTTATACACTGCAAACATACGGCACACAGCTCTGCACGGACAGAGGAGCAGTCGCATGCTGATATTGCTGTTGTTTGATCTCTTTAACGAAAATAGATTTACATCTAGCCGACTGTGCGGCCGTACTGTGCTTAAAGCAAGCCGAACAGTAGGCTGATTGGTGCCATCAATGCATGTGTATCGGCAAACATGTGTTCTCGCGCATCTTACACAACATTTGTGTGTATGTCTGCACTTAATACGCAAATCTATCATGTTGGTCCTTTCACCCTCATTCAATTCAGTAGGTATTTCAGATCTTTTGCCGTAGAGTACCACAGTACAGCCCCTAAAGAAAAACGCTTGTTGTGGGTGAGGACCAGCGAAAAACACCAAAAGTCGAAGCAAATGCAGCATCCACTGCGTTTCGAGTGCACTGGAATACCCACAGAAGCCTAAATTTTCTGTCTATGGCAGTTAGGCTGTGCATTTCATCTTCTCGCACTGCAGGCAAAGTGAGGACCCAGAAAGTTGAAGGCAGTGAGCACTAAGCAGCCAAATAGGGGTCAGGATTGCCCTGTTTTGCAGGCTAATGCTGGCGAGATAAAGTGTACAAGAAACGGGTGCAGGGACTTTCGCCCAAGCTTCAAAGGCGATAGTCCATAGTCGTGCGATAAAAAGGAAAACTTCCAGGAAGGAACAAAGGTAACGAGTGAAAGCTCTATCGAAACTTCGACAGTTACTCACATCCGGAAGCTCTCGAGCGTGCACTATCCCTGCAGAAGCATGCAGCTCCCTGTATCTGAACACAGAGATCTAATTGCTTCTCATCTGGAGACTTCTAGCTAGTGCTGCTTTCTCGCTAGTCCTCTGAAGGAAGCGGGAAGGAAATGCGGGAGTCTCAATCAGATTGTTGAGGCTCTCTTTCCCCGCTATTGCTATTCCCGCGTCTACTGACTTCGCGTAATGGAACATTCTTAGAATGCATGCCTTCCTTCCACGTTTTGGCAAATGCTTCCAGCTTCACATAAAAATTGTTGACCCTGTGTTAGGCTGATCCCCGTTTTAGGCACAGTCTCGACGCCGCCACCGCCGGCGAAACGTTGACCAGCACAAAGCAGTACTTTACAGAGCTAACCAAATAGAAGTCTCGCAACTTTCGGCACATTAAGAAAAGTAAATGCGGGTAAAAGCAGCGGGCGACCACTCAAAAATGCAGCAGCCGCAACTGTGCAGCTTGAACTGAGGAATCGATGATCACGGGAGGACGGGAACTACTGACTCGCCGAGTAAAAGGACCCTTAAAGTAACATTAAATATTCAATCTATATCAGATTTCCGCTAAAAACTAATCTGTAAGTTGCGAACGCCGTATTCAAGGCCTAAGTAAACCGAAGCTTGAATAACCAGCTACCTTCCTGGTTCGAGGCGTCCTGCGTCCCACTTCAGCTTCTTGCAAAGAGTCAACTCCATAAATCCACAAATTGCCAGGACACCCAATTTCGTTAACTCAGATGAAATTGAGTCAAGCTGTAAGGCGGCAAGAAGAGAAATAAACACAACCTCCAGCCCCACTCCACCCACCACAAGCCCTTAGAGCCACTTCAGCGAAAAACCAGACCAGCTCACAGCTATCTCGCGGCGTGAACTAAAAGTTATTTTTCCGACTATTGCTATTAGATACATATTTTAATGCCAAGACAAAGAGTATATAAATCCTGAGGCATACACGCGCAGCGCCAGTCGATTTCCGAAGCGGAGTCTGTGACACTATCGCGTGAAACCCGCTCAAGTTGGCTCAACTCTCCTGAAATTTAAATGAACACCCGGAAAACGTGGAAGAATAAAGAATTCCGTTATTATATAGCGGCAAAGAAGGCAACACTGGCCAATTTCCACCCCACTTCGCGGTATTGAATCTTCGGCTGTCTCAGCCACTTTTGGCCTCTCCACAGCACAGAGGGGGTCCGTCACCAGAATGGGAGGCCGAACTCCTCGCCCGAGCGAGTTGCGACTTCTTGTACTTGCTGGTGGCCCCAAAGCCTCAGGAGCAACCCCACCAAATAAACCACCGGAGTCTGCAGCTTCGCAGAAGAAGGCCAGCTGGCAGTCTTTGCAGCCGCTGGCGCTGCCGTACCCGTCTGCGCCTGAAGTTCCCGTGGACTTCTTTGTTTCTGGCGAAGTCATTTATGAAATAAACAAAAGCTGCAGAAGCGTGGGCACCTGCTCGGCGCTGCTGCCGCCGCAGCTGCTGCTGGGCGACGGCTCTTTGCTGCTGGCCACCCCCATGGACCCGCTGCTGCTGCTGCTGCCCCACCTACGGCTAACTGCTGCTGCATCTTTCCTGCCGCTGCTGGATGCTGCAGCACCCAGCAAGCTGGACGCAAACCTCCGCAGCAACCTGCAGGCCCTCGCGCAGCACCCCGCAGTGCTGCGGCGGCTGCACTGCACATGCGACCTCAGGCTGCTGAATTCTGACGCTGCTGCTGCTGAAACAGAGCCAGCCGTCGCCGACGCTGCTGCTGCTGCTGCTGCTGCTGCTGCTGCTGTGACTGCTGAGGAGGGCCGCGAGCGCCTGTCTGCTGCTCTCAGCGGCTGCTTATTTGTTCGATTTAATTCCGCAAAGACAACAGACTTTCTTCTCCGAAAACACAACAAACTAGCAAGAGCAATTTCAGCTCAGAGGGTGGCGCCCAGTGCCTTTCCTGCAGCCGCCGCGTCTGCTGTCGCCCACAGCAGCAGCAGCCCACCAGCAGCAGCAGCAGCAGCAGCAGCAGCAGACCCCAGCAGCCATTCGCTTGCGTTCTCTATCTTTTCTGCGTATCTCGTTAAGCCCTTAGCTGCTGCGCTGGAGCAGCGGCTGAAGCGGGAGGGCCTTTTGTCTGAGGGGCGTCAGTGTGGGGCCTCAGGCGCAGAGTGCAAGCAAATAAGTGCGAAGGCAAAGGCAAGCAGCAGCAACACTGCAGCAGCAGCAGCAGCAGCAGCAACAAAGGCCTCGAACTTGAAGGCTGGGACCAGACTCAAGAGAGCAGCGGGGGGCGCAGCGGCAACAGCAAATAGCAAGAAGACACAAACAGGCAAAAGACCTGCTTAGCCGGCAGAAGCGAAACACGCACACAGAGTTGCGTCTTTTTAATTTCTTTTGAATTTATTTATTTTATTATTAATTAATTTCAAACAAAGACAGCAAACTTTAGTGCGGAGCTGTTCTCATGTACACCTGAGTTTGACTTGCTTCTCCGTACATATTCTCGCAACAACGCAGCAGTGCAGCAGATCTGTGCATGCACCGGCAAGCAAGTGACTATGATAACTCATATTATAGATTTTCTGGATACAGACACATTATAGGCAAATATATATATATATATATATATACATATATATATACATATATTTGGCATGCACAGACCTAGATATGTATATACACATATTACGCATATATCAGTGTGTACAGATACGCAAAAAAATAATCAGACGCATGCACATAGAACACAGAAATTACTTAAAATATGATAGTTTAGGGCTCAGGCTTTTTTCTTGGGGGAAAATGGCTGTCTGAGGTTTAGGCAGAAGCCCAACTGCAGCTTTTTTCTTCACCTCTACCCAGAGGCGTCAAAACACTCATATGCTTGTTTGTGCGTATGTGCTTGTAAAGTCATTATGCATATATATTCATATTGTACATGAACAGCATTATATACATAAACAGCATTATATACATGAACAGTATTATATACATACACACATATATACACATGCATGTATATAATGCTGTTCATGTATATAATGCTGTACATGTATATGTATGCCTTATATATGCATGCGTGCGTATACGCGTATATCAGATGCACATGAGTTCATGAGTAATATGAAATAAATGAATTTGTAGTACATTACATATGCATGAGTACGCGAATAATCTGACATAAAATGGATTGGGAGAATGCAGATGGTCCTTTTGGACTTTGTTTGGCGTCGAAGTTCCAACGGCCTACGGGCTAAAAAGGCTCTAGCTGCTGTACCAACAAGTACAAGGCGTGTCTTCCCTCAACGAAGCAGCAGCATCTGCTAATGCTGCTGCTGCAGCTGGTGCTGCTGCAGCTGTTGCTGCTGCAGCTGGTGCTGCTGCAGCTGGTGCTGCTGCACGAGCTCCTGACAAAGGCGCACAAGGCGCGTCTGTAGAAAAGTGTCTGTGCTCATACCTCTTAATTCAAACATAAGTTGAAAGGCTCGTCAGGCGAAGCAAACAAAGTAGAGTCCTACGCTTGGGTGCCTATAACTAACATGGACAGCCATGAGGCCCCTAAACAAAAAAGGTACTTATTCCCATTGATTTTGAAAAGGAGCTGAGTCTGCAACAGCGGCAGTGAAGCGAAGATATTGAAGCGATTAAATAAGTCAACCAAAACAAACTAGAAGAACAGCACTCCCCTAAGCCTCCAGCAGGGGCCCCCAACAGCCCCATGGGCGCCTGCTTGGCTCTGCTTGGGGCCCCCCCATTGGTTGTAGTGGGTCCAGGGTCACTTGGGGCCCCCTAGGGGCCCCCCCAGGCCCGCCGGCGTCGCTCCCGGGGGCCCCGCGCCGAGGAAGTTGGGGGCCCCCTGGGTCTGCGCTAAGCCCAGGAAGCGGCCTATGCTTCTGCGCTGCGTGGCCTTGGTCTCCTGCAGGCGTTTGGCCTCATTGAATCTGCTGCCGACCCCCGGAAGGGCCCCCCCCCCGTACCTGCTGATGCTGCTGCGCACGTCGTCGGGACTCAGCGAACAGTGTTTCAAGAAGTTAATCAGCGACAGCAGCTCGCAGTCCTCCTCCGCCTCTGCGGCTGCAGCGCATTCGCAGGCGCACAGGCGCTGCAGGAGCCAGTGGGAGGCCTGGCTACCAGCAGCTGTTGCTGCTGCTGCTGCAGCAGCAGCAGCTGCAGTCACTGGCTGCTGCAGCTGCAGCAGCTGCTCGGCGGCAAGAACAAACAAGGAAACTGATAAAGAAGCAGCTGAAGGGCTCAAAAGACAAATAGATGCGAAGGGGCAAAAAGATTGGATTAAAAGGCTGACATGCAAGGACAGGCAGATAAAGAAATAGAGAGAAAGACAGTTGAGGCGCACAGGCTGCAGCAACACCATGGAACAAAGACTGGAAAACAAAAAGAAGACAAAAACAGGAAAAAAAAGAAAAGTAAGACAGAAAATGGAGAAAGAAAGGAAGACACGGAAAGGAAAATAAGCAAAAAGGAAAGAGGAAGGAAAAGAAGGGAAGGAGGGACGGACGGCAAGGAAAGGGAAACAAAGAAAGCGAAACACAGAAGGAAAAGAAGGGCAGAAAGCAAAGAAATGGAGCGAAGGAGGGAAGGAAAGCAAGAAGAGAAAATTGTGGAGGAGAGAAATAAAGCGGAGAGGAGAAAGAAGGCAAGAAAAGGAACGAAGAAAAGGCACGAAAGCAGGAGAATGAAAGCAAGAAAAGACGCAAAGAAAGGAAGCAAAGAAACAAAGAAAGGAAGCAAAAAGCGGAAGGAATGCAACAGAAGAAGCAGAGAAAAGGACAAAACGAAAGAAAGAAAGGAAGCAAGAGGGGAGCCACACCCGTGCCCTCGAAAGGCGTCACTTTGATGAAATTCGGAAGAAACTTCTCCTCAAGGCCTTCTTCAGTACAAGACACATAAACAAGCCGGTCCAGGCGCCGGCCCAGCCTGCTCAGGTCCTGCAAGCAGCAGCAAACGCGCAGCAGCAGCGCAACAGCTCAGCTGCCGCAAACAGCAGCAGCAGCAGCAGCAGCAGCAGCAGCAGCGAGGCTCCGCAGCGCCGCTTTGAATGAGTTGAATTCTGAAGTTCAGTTTAGCTGGTGCCGCAGTTCTGACTCCAAAAGGGTGCAAAAGTAGAATTGTGCAAAGTTGAATTAGTGTTGAATTCTGGATTTTCGCTAAGTCTGTGTCGCAGTTCTGGCTCCAAAAAAGTGAAATGCTTGAGTTAGCGTTGAATTTCAATCAAGCATTTGTCGAATTCCTGGCTTTCAATGAGTGAAAAACTTGAATAGTGTTGATTTTCAGTTGAGTTGGAGTCGAATTTCTGGTTTTAAACAGTGAAAAACTTGAATTAGTGTTGAATTCAGAAGTATCATTAAGTTTGTGTCGCATATCTGGCTCTAAAAGAGTGAAAAAGTGGACTTATACTGCAGTTGAATAGTGTTGAATTCGGAGATATCGTTAACTTTGTGTCGCATTGCTGGCTGTCAAAGAGTTAAGAAATTGGATGGTGTTGAGTAAGTGAGACTTGCGTCGTCTTCCGGGCTTTAAAAGAGTGAAAAGCTGGAACTTGTGTTGAATCCATGTTGAATTTGAATGCAGTTATTGAGTTTCAGTGGACTTTCTGTCGCCTTTCCACTTGGAAAGAGTGAAAATCTAGAATTAGTGTTGAATCCATGTTGAACTGAGACACGTTGTTGAACTTCAGTGGATTTCGTGTGGCTTTTCTTTTATTAAAAGCTAAAGGGAGAACTCCTGTTGAATATGAGTAAAGAAGTTGAATTTCAGTGGAACTTGTGTGGCCCTTCTTCTTTCTTTAAGGGAGAACTCGTGCAGAAATTGCGCCATCTTATTGATTTCGCGTGGATTTTGCGTGGCTTTTTTTTTAAAAAGCCACAGGAGAATCTGTGGAGAACATCCGCGAATTAGTCGAACTAAGTGGCCTTTGGGGGCTTTTCTTTTTTGAAAATGAAGGAGAACTTGTGCACTGTTGAAGACCCTGACTCGCCTTCACGCGGCGGCCGGGCCTGCGACTCATCGTGTCCGCACTGAGACAAGCCGTCACCGGCAGCCCCCACTGCTGCAGCGCCATTTGCACTGCCGGGGGTTCGTCTGAACTCCAGACGAGGACTTCGAAGAAGTGGGACAAGTCGGCCACGAGGCGTTCGCTGTGCGGCCGTTTCTTCAGCTTGTAGCCCCCAGCCCGCTATGCACAGCAAACGCAACTGAAGCAGTCTTTGGTGTTTTTTGTTCTCTTTTATTTTAGTTTTTGTTTTATTTTAGTTTTCTCGTTTTGTTTAATCCTAGTCTTCGTATTCTGCACGAAAAATGCACTTCAGAGAAGCCCCCCTATACGCCCACAGGCCAAAACGCCCATAACTGCTCACTAGCCGCAGCTACCGGGGAAGCTGGATGAACAACTTATTCAGCAATTAATTAATTAATTAATTAATTAATTAATTAATTAATTAATTAATTTATTATTTATTTAATTGTTTATTATGGCATGTTAGCGCCAGCAAGACCGACAGAACGACGAAAGCCAGACACGCAGCGGGATCTATACGGCCCGCAGCAGCAGCAGCAGCAGCAGCAGCAGCAGCAGGAGGCCCCACATCGTGCCCGATCTTCGCGAGCACTCCGTCGAAGTCCAAGACGAGGGTCGGGAGGTTTTCGGGATAATTAAGTTCTTTTAAATCTGGCAGCAGCGGCTCGGGGTCTTCGGGAAAGGCTCCGCACACCACCTGCGGTGTACGTACACCCCAGCTCTGCTGCAGCAGCTCACCGCCACTTTTCCAAAAGCAAAATCACTTCTTAAGCAGCTCCGAAAGTGGCACAAACAGCTACTGCGGTGCCTGCCTAGCTAGCTAGCTAGCCAGCTAGCGAGCTAGCCATCTATCTAGCCCTCCAGCAAGTCAGTTAGCCAGCTGCCTGGCCAGCTAGCTAGCTCGCTGGCCAGCCAGCTAACTGGCTAGCCGGCCAGCTGGCCAGCTAGCCAACCAGCTAACTAACTAGCCAGCTAGCTAGCTACCTAGCTGCCCAGTTACCTAGCTAGCTAGCTGGCTAGCTAGCTAGCTACCTAGCTAGCTACCTAGCCAGCTAGCTAGCTAGCTAGCTACCTAGCTAGCTAGCCACGTTGGCTGTGCGTACATCTTCTACGGCGTTTTGAACCTGCTGAGCCGTTTTGGTCATTTGGGCGTCCGCCGCTTGCCACATTTCCTTCAAGAACTCTGCAGCCACAAACCCTAAACCCTAAACCCTAAACCCTAAACCCTAAGGCTTGGCTGCAAAACCCTAAACCCTAAACCCTAACTTGCCTGTAAAACTCAAGCTGTGCTGCTTCATGTAAGCTGCCACCCAAAGGGCCCCACTGAGGGCCCCCGCGCCCCAAAGAAGGGCCCCCAAAGAAAAGCCTTTGTGTGGGGGTTTGCTGTGGGGCCCCGCATTCTGCTGCTCGCTGTCTGCATCTGCTGCTGCTGCTGCTGCTGCTGTTCCTGCTGCTGCTGCACTTCCTGTTGCTGCTGCTGCTGCTGCTGCGTCGGCTTCTGACGACTGCTTCAGCTGCTGCCGCTCAGCCCCTGTGGTCACGCGCAGCAGCTCCTCTGCTGCTGCGTTTCCCGAAGCAGCAAGGGCTCCTGTGTGTCTTGCTGCTGCTGCTGCACCTGCTGCTTGTCCAGCTGCAGCAACAGCAAGCGGCACTGCTGCTGCGCTCGCGAAGCCACGAGCTGCTGCTGAAGCTCCGCGAAAAAGGCCGCTGCTATGGGCCTGAAGGACCCCACGGGGGCCCCCACGTGCAGCAGCAGCAGCAGCAGCAGCAGCAGCAGCAGCAGCTGGTGAGGCAACACCAACTTGTCTACATGCAGTCCCGAGCTGTAGAGCCCCGACAGCAGCACTGATCCTCTTACGCGGTATCTGTGCTGCATGCCGCTGCTGCTGCAGCTGCAGCTGAGCCAGCTGCTGCAGCGGCTGCTGCTGCAGCAACCGGGCAGCAGCAGCAGCAGCAGCAACAGTAACGCAGCCGCTGCGCCTGCATGCGCCCGGGGCACCGCTGCAGTGCATGTTGGCAACAGCAAAAGCAACTTGAAGTGTCTGCTGAGGTTTCGATGCGAGTTAAGCCATGCTGCTGCTTGTGGGGTCGTTTGCAGCGCTGCTGCAGCTGCAGCAGCAGCAGGAGCAGCAAGAGCAGCGCCGGCGGCAGCTGAGTCCCTTAAACTCGAAACCAATGCAACTATTTTCTTAAACTGAATTAAATTCAGACTAAGTTGTAGTCCAGATAGCTATTTAAGGATCAAGAACTTGGTTTGGGGCTGGGGGCCCCAGCACCAGCAGCCCCGCTGCGGGGCTGCGGCGGGGCTGCTGCGCTCTCAGTGCTCCGTTTTGCCGAATTAAATAAATTTAAAAAGTGTAATTAACTAAAATTTAACAAATTAATCAAAAAAAAGGAAAAAAATCATCTTTTGCAATAAAATCAGAGCCAGAAGCAGCAGCAAGACTTCACGGCCTCACCCCCAGCTGTTCCGCGACGCCCAGTGTACAGACACCAGGAGAACTTCGCGCATGTAACTCAGTGCAACTCTAGTGTTCAATCCGATCTAATTAATATAATTAATAAATTAAAGTTGAATTAATTTTAAAATAGGCATAAATACAATTAAATGTCTGCTGCTGCGCCCCGCTAATTCCCCCGGCCGCTGGAGCCCAAAGGCTGCACAGTTATCTGAGGTGTCTGTACACCCCGCGTGTTTCCGCAGCACCCCTTCTGCGCCCTACGGACTTAATTTGCATTAAATGCGATTATTTAACAAACAATTAGTTGTTTTTATTTATTTTTAAACGACGGAATTGCCCAAAAGGCTTCCCTCTGGAGGTAAACATAAAAAGCCACAGATACATTGCGAAGCCGGGCTGCTGTGCATGCTCTGCACTTGCTGCCGCTGCTGCTGCTGCTGCTACTGCTGCTGAATTGCTGCTGTTGCAGCTGGCGCAGCAACAGCTGGCGCTGAAGCAGCAACAGCAGCAGCCGCAGCAGCAGCTTGCTGCTCCTCCTCCTCCACGGCCCCGCCCAGCTGTCTATACACCCCGGGCTGCACAACTTGCGACAGCAGCAACGCCTCGCCTTCCTGCTGCAGCGGCGCCTTTTGCTGCTCCCCCTCAGCGCAGGCCTTGGGGGCCCCAGCAGCAGCCTGAAGGGCCCCTGGGGGGCCCCCCAAGGGGCCCCCCAACAGCTCCTTGGGAGCATCTAGGGGGCCCCCCGCGGCCTGGGGAGCAGTAGCAAACTGCCACATGTTTAATTGGAAGTCGTAGAGCTGGCCCACGCGGCGCACTACTGCGGCACACAAACCCTAACCCTAAACCCTAAACCCTAAACCCTAAACCCTAAACCCTAAACCCTCGCTGCCCGTAGCACGGCGCTAAGACGGAGGCAAAGCCTACGGGCAAAGCCGCGGGCTGCTAGCCAGCTGGAGAGCCCGCAAAGCAGCAAAGAAGAAACAAAAATGAATTGAAAATAAAAATAAAAATAAAGTGAAGAACCCACGCAGCTCCAAAGGCTTGTCCAGCACCTTGCGGTGTACAGACAGCTCCTGCACCAGCATGCGCTTCGCCAGCAGAAAATAAATTGGAGGCAAATTGGCGCTTTCGCAGAATGCCAGTTCCTAAAAGCAAAAAAATAATAAATAAAATAAAATAAATAAATAATGACAAATAAATTCGCAAATAATGAACAATAAACACAAACTCAAACAGCCCACCCATCAGCTCCTGCAGCGGAGCTGTACGTACACCCCAAATGCACAGCTGCTGCTTTTCTTGCTGCTCATTCATGCCCTCACTTTTTATTTATTTGCACAAAAGTGTCAAAAGGATTTATATTTTTGGACAAAATACAAATTTCGCACTATTCTTGTTAATTTATACTTGCAAAAGTATGTGGATTTGCGCGTATGGGCAGCAGCAGCAGCAGCAGCAGCAGCACATTGAGGGAGCCCGTGGCGCCTGCTGCAGCAGCAGCAGGTGCTGCTGCTGCTGCTGCTGCCAACATACATATACATTATGGCAGCTAGAAACACAAATACTTGGAAACGCATGCATGCGTGCATGCGTGCATGCATGCATGCATGCATGCGTGCATGCATGCGTGCATGCATGCATGCGTGCATGCATGCATGCATGCGTGCATGCATGCGCTGCAGCAAACGCCAAATAGAGGCCAAGCCCACCTCTGGCTTGAGCAGTTTTGCCCCGGGGAAGTTTCTTATGGATGTTAAGGGAGCAGTTCCTTGGGGGCCCCCTGGTGTTGCTGCTGCTGCTGCTGCTGCAGCAGCAGCAGCAACACCGGCGCCCCTTTGCCCGGCGCGTCCCTTGGCCGTGCTGGCTGCCTGGGTCTTGGCTGCTGCGCCTGCTGCTGCTGCTGCTGTTGCTGCTGCTGCTGCTGCTGCGTGCACCGACCCTGGAGCAGCAGCAGCAAGACACAAGTCTGGGGCGCGCAGCCGCAGCTGCTCTCTCCAGGCCTTTTCCTTTTCATAAACCTGCAGCAAAAAATTAAATTAAAAAAGATTTAAAACTTCAGAAGATGGCAGCTGCTGCTTCTAACTTCCCATTAATAAATGCAACAAGAAGAATAAGCATTTCAACTAGCTGCAGCAAGATGTAGCTTGCTGCAGCTAGTTGAAGCTGCAGCAAGCTGCAGCAAGCTGCAGCTTGCTGCAGCTTGCTGCAGCTTGCTGCAGCCCAATCAGCAGCAGCAAGCTGCTGCTGATTGGGAATTGACTGAAGTTTGAAAAAGTACAAAAGGAGCAAATAAAAGAATAAAAAGAATGTCATTTAAAAAGGAACAAATGTTGAAAACATTGAAGCAAGCTGCAACAAAAGTGGCAACAAGCTGCAATAAGAGTGGCAGCAAACTGCAGCAAAAGCGGTAAAACAAGCAGCAGCAGCAGCAGCAAAAGTGGCGGCAAACTGCAGCAAAAGCGGCAAAACAAGCAGCAGCAGCAGCAGCAAAAATGGCCGCAAACTGCAGCAAAAACGGCAAAACAAGCAGCAGCAGCAGCAGCAGCAAAAGTGGCGGCAAACTGCAGCAAAAGCGGGCAAAACAAGCAGCAGCAGCAGCAGCAGCAGCAGCAGCAGCAGCAGCAGCAGCAAAAGTGGCAGCTCGCCTCCACGTCCCCCGCTGTCTTCAGCCCCAAACTCCGCCACTCCTGCAGCAGCGCCAGCCGCTGCCGCAGCCGCCGCTCTTCGATCAGCAGCTGCACCAGCCGCTCCTGCTGCTCGTCGGCCTGGAACCGAGCCAGCGGCCTGCAGCAGCAGCAGCAGCAGCAGCAGCAGCAGCAGCAGCAGCGGCAGCAGCAGCAGCAGCAGTAGTGGGGGCTGTAAGGGTGGCAGGAGCTTTGGATCGCGAGAAGCTCTCCAGTTGCATGCAGCACTCCCCGGAGCAGCACTTCGGGGCTGGCAGGCACTGGCGCTGGGACTGCTGCTGCTGCTGCTGCTGCTGCTGCTGCTGCGTCTACTGCTGCTGCTGCTGCTGCAGGCCATACTTGAAAAGATTGTGAAGGTCTCTTTCCTCTTTTGTTCGCCTCTTGTCCCGCAGATGAATTGACTTCACATCCAGCAGACCCCTAAGTGCAGCAGCAGCAGCAGCAGCAGCAGCGAGAGCAGTAGCAGCAGCAGCAAGAGCAGAAGGAGCAATAGCAGCAGCGGCACCAGTAGCAACAACAGCAGCAGGAGCAGCAAGAAGCAGCAGCAACAGCAGCAGCTGCAGCACAGTCCTTTCAGGCGGCTACAAGCCTGCACCCCAGAGCGGCGCCGCTCTCCCGAGGGTTTAGGGTTTAGGGTTTCTCTCCCGAGGGTTTAGGGTTTAGGGTTTAGGGTTTACCTGCTGATAATGGTGTTTTTTCTGTAAATTCTTTCATCTAATTTTGAATTATAAATTTCAACAATTTGCAACTTCAGCTGGCGCTCCTGCACAGGCTCGCCGTCTGTACACCCCAGCGCATGCAGCGAGTTCAACTCTTCTTTGTTTTTATTTTTCATTTTTTATTTTTAATTTATTTTTTATTTATTATTTCTTTTCCACTTTTAACCCTTCCGCCGCTGCGCGGGCTGGCTAGCTGCTGCTCGCCACCTGGCTTGGCTAGCTGGGGGTGGCTAGTTGGGTTTGGCTAGCTAGTCTTGGCCCGCTAAGTTCCGCTAGCTGCTGCTGCCTAGCTGCTGCTGGCTAGCTGCTGCTGGCTAGCTAGCTGCTGCTGACTGGCTGCAGTTATCCTGCTGCAGCTAGCCAGCAGCAGCTCGCCAGCCGCAGCTAGCTAGCTGCAGCTCGCTAGCTTCAGCTAGCTGCAGCTAGCTGGAGCAAACCAGCTGTAGCTAGCTAGCTACAACTAGCTACCTAGCCGTAGCTAGCCAGCTGAAGCTAGCTAGCTACAGCTAGATACCTAGCTGTAGCTAGCTAGCTACAGCTAGCTACCTAGCTGTAGCTAGCTAGCCGTAGCTAGCTAGCTGTAGCTAGCTAGCTGTGGCTAGCTAGCTGTAGCTAGCTAGCTGTGGCTAGCTAGCTGTAGCTAGCTAGCTGTAGCTGGCTAGCTGTAGCTAGCTAGCTGTGGCTAGCTAGCTAGCTAGCTAGCTGGTGCGTGTTGCGGGACCTTTGAACTCCATGTCTGCGAGGATGAGTTCGGCGTCGTTGTCGAACTCGACGTCGAAGTCGCCGCGCAGCGGCCAATAGCCCACAATGGAGTGCGAGGGTTTTGCTGCTGGCCGCGGCAGTGCAGCAGGAGTGGCAGCAGCAGCAGCACACTCTGCGCAGCAGCAGCAGCAGCAGCAGCAGCAGCAGCAGCAAGGGGGGGCCCATGGGCGCAGCAGCGGCCGCAGCAAGCGAAGGCACGGGCGAAGCGGGAAGCAGAAACAGCAAACGACCAGTGCAGCAGCAGCAGCAGCATGAGTTGAACAGCAGCAGCAGCAGCACGAATTGGACAGCAGCAGCAGCAGCATGAATTCAACAGCAGCAGCAGCAGCATGAAATGAACAGCAGCAGCAGCAGCAGCATGAAATGAACAGCAGCAGCAGCAGCAGCAGCAGCAGAGAAGCCCGTTCACTGAATTAGAAGCAACTGGCACTTCCAATGTAAAACAAAACAAACAAAGTACAAATAAATAAAACAATTTAATAAATGAATTAATTTAATAAATGAATTAATTTAATAAATGAATTAATTTAATAAATGAATTAATTTAATAAACAAATAAGGTTAATAAATAAATAAATTTGATAAATAAATTAATTGAACAGCAAAGCTCAAGAGCAGCAAAGAGCCACGCGAGCAGCAACGAAAATAAGAAGCAATTAAATAAAACATTTTAAACAAAACAACCAAATAAATAAATAAATAAATAATTAAATAAACAATTAAATAAATAATTAAATAATTAATTAAAAAAATAATTAAACAATTAAATCATTAATTTAATTAAATTAGAACGAACGAATAAGCGGGAAAAGAAGGGAAAGGCGCAGGACCTGCTTCTGCCTCGGGCAGCTGGCTGCTGCTGCTGCTGCTGCTGCTGCTGCTGCTGCTGCTGCTGCTGCTGCTGCTGCTGCTGCGGGCCCGCTGCTGGCGCTCGAGCGCCTCTGCAGCAGACAAGGCCTTGCCTTCTTTGTTTTTAATTAGCTGCGACAAATCCGGCAAAGGAGCAGCAGCAGAATTTAAATAAAAATTAAAATAATGTTTTTCGCAACTCTCCGCGGTCTTCGGCTCCAGAGAAACTTGAGATATCAACTCCGCCACCTCCTGCAGCCGCACAAACCCACACAGCTAGCTAGCTAGCTAGCTAGCTAGCTAAACAACTAGCCAGCTAGCTAGCTAGCTAGCTAGCTAACTCGCTGGCTAGCTACCTAAATAAGTAGCCAGCTAGCTAGCTAGCTCGCTAGCTCGCTGGCCAGCTCGCTGGCTAGCTACCTAAGTAACTAGCTAGCTAGCTAGCTAGCTAGCTAGCTAGCTAGCTAGCTAAATGACAAGCCAGCTAGCTAGATAGCTAGATAGCCAGCTAGCCAGATAAATAAGTGGCTAGCTAGCCAGCTAGCTAGATAGATGGATGCATAATTGGCTGGCCAGCTAGCTGGCTAAATAGCTAGCCAGCTAGCCAGCTAGCTAGCTAAATAGCTGGCCGCCAGCCAGCTAAATAACTAGCTGGCTGGCTAGCTACTTAGCTAGCAGGCTAGCTAGCTATGGAACTGGCTAGCTGGCCGGCTAAATCAGACAGCAGCAGCACAAGGCGCCGCAGCAGCAAAAGGAGCAGCAGCAGCAGCAAAGGGGAAAAAGCAGCAAAACGAACACCAGCAGCACCAGCAGCAAAGAGGCAAACACAGCGAAATGAACCCCAGCAGCAGCAGCAGCAGCAGCAGCAGCAGCAGCAGCAGCAGCAGCAGCAGCAGCAGCGGACTGCCCAGTTTCCGAAGCCGTATTTGCCGACGCCCTCGATGAGCAGCAGCTCTTCTTCGGCAGTCCAGTCGAGGCTGAAGAGGGGGAAAGTGTTGCGGCCGACGGGGATGTAGGCGTGGGAGTTTTCGTGCTGCTGCTGCTTGCTGCTGCTGCTGCTGCTGCTGCTGCTGCTGCTGCTGCTGCTGCGGCCGCTGCAGAAGCAAGACAGACACAAGTCGAAGTCGAAGCACTCCGCACACTTTATGCGAAAAGCCCCGCTGATGTCTTTGCCGCAAACGTCGCAGTGGTACTGCGCATGCAGCGAGAGCAGCGAGCCGAGGGCCCCCACGGCCAGCCCCGACAGCTGCTGCTGCTGCTGCTGCTGCTGCTGCTGCTGCTGCTGCTGCTGCTGCTGCTGCTGCTGGGGGGGCGGCGGCGAGGGGCAGCAGCTCTCCGCAGGCGCCACGGACGTCGCGCACGCGTCCGCCACGCGCAGCCGCTTCGGGCTGCAGCAACACACACACGCCCCACGAAGCTGCTGCTGCTGCTGCTGCTGCTGCTGCTGCTGCTGCTGCAGGTGGGACTGGGCTGCAGCAGCAGCTCGCGGGGCGGAGAGGCAGCAGCAGCGGCAGCGAGCTCACTTCCTGTCTTCTGCAGCCCGCTGCATCTTGGCAGCAGCAAGAACGGACTTGGGGAGGAAGGAGAGCCAGCTGCAGCAAAGGCGGATCCTAGTTGGCTGTGCGCATTATTTGAAGCAGCAAATGCAAAAGAAAAGATATTAGCTGCTTCTCATCATCAGCAGCAGCAGCAAAAAGCAAAAAAGAACTCCAAAAAGCCTCGAGCCCGCCCCCTCCCCGCCGCTGCAGCAAAACGGAACTTTAAGTCCAAAGTGAGCAGCAACGGGAAGCTGCGGTGTCTGCGCGTCGCGCGGCCGCCGCCGGGTGTACGTACACCCCAAGTGCAGCAAAGCGAGATATCTTTTAAAGTCAATTCATTTCATTTCTTCCAAACAAAATTCGAAAATCAAATCCGGAAGTTCGCGGCGCCTGCATGTGCGCAGCCGGGGCTTCGGCCAGCCGCCGAAGCAGCCGTTTGAGTTAACTGGCGGATAAAAAAGAAATAAATTTAAAATTAAACTTTATTTTCCTTTTAATGCGATCCCTAGTGTATGTACAGGTCCACTTTGTGTCTTCTTCGCCTCCTTCCAGAAGAGCTCGTGTGGAGCAGCTGCAGCGCCGCTGCTGCTGCTGTCTGCGTGGCTTCTTGCGCAGTTCAGTGGAGTTGTTCATTTTAATTCTTCAAATTAATTATTTAATTCCAATTTATTTCTTTTTAAGTTTATAAACGAGTTTATAACGAAGGGCTGGGTGCTCCGGCTCTGCCCCCGCTAGCAGCAAACAGACCCAGCTGCTGCCTCACAAGACGCAGCAGCTTAGGAGAGGCTTTACCTTGAGGGGGCCCACAGGGGCCCCTAGGCTCCCGGGGGCCTCCAGGGGCCCCCGGGGGCCCCCGGGGGGCCCCTGGGGGCCCCTTTGGGGCCCTTAGGGCCTCTCAGGGCCTCTTGAGGGCCCCGGGGTACCCTGGGGCCCCCAGGGGCCCCCGGACTGGGGGCCCCTGGGGGCCCCTCCTACTAGCTGCTGGGCTTTAATATGCTTGGGGGCCTTTGCATGCCATTTGGAAATTTTGTAGCATTTTAAGAAAGTGCTTTATGGCTAGCTAGCCATTAGAGGGCCCCGTGGCTAGCTAGCCATCTAAGGGCCATGTCAGTGACTAGCCACTGCAGGGCCACTTGGCTAGCTAGCCAGCAAAGGGCTTCGCGCGGTGGAGCCATTTCTGCCACAGCTAGCTAGCCACTGCGGGCAGCTAGCTAGCCACTGCGGGCAGCTAGCTAGCCACTCGGGGCAGCTGGCTAGCCACTTAATTGCCCTATAGGTGGCTAGCCATTAAATGGCCCCACAACTAGCTAGCCATTAGAGGGCCCCATAGCTAGCTAGCCACTAAATGGCCCTACAGCTAGCTAGCCATCGGGGGGCCCTGTAGCTGGCTAGCTAGCCATTAGAGGGCCATACGACTAGCTAGCCATCGGGGGCCCTACAGCTAGCTAGCTGCCGGAAGGCCCCACAGCTGGGGTCAAGGCCTCTTTTGCCCACAGCAGCAGCTACAGCAGCAGCAGCAGCAGCAGCAGCTGCTGCTGCTGCTGCTGCAACAGCAAACTTGCTCATGCACTTAAGAAGGGCTGCATGCAAATGCACATTTAGGGCTTTTGCTGCAGCAAGCTGAGCAGCAGCACCTCTGAGGAAGCCTTGCACTCCCTGCAGCCCCCTGCAGCAGCAGCAGCAGCAGCAGCAAAAGCGCCAGCAGCAGCAGCAGTAGCAGCAGCAGAGGCAGCGGCATCAGTGCTAAGCTGTAGGTAGACGGCTACCTATGGTTCCAGCTAACTGCACTAGCTAGCTGCAGCTAGCTGTAGCTAGCTGTAGCTAGCTACAGCTAACCAGCCTTTAGTGGCCCGCTTTAAGTGCTTTTTCCTTCGAACTTTTGCCCTTTTTAAGCTTCTGCTTCTCAGTTTATTTTTAATTTGCTTTTGCTGCTGCTGCAGCAGCAGCAGCAGCAGCAGCAGCAGCAGCAACTTTTGGGGCTCTCTGCTGCGCCGGCAGGGGCCGAAGCCGCTGCCCTTTTAGAGCCACCCCTTAGTGCCTCTTGGCAACACCACCAGCAGCAATAGCTGCTGCTGCTGCTGCTGCTGGCCATAGTGCTTTTTAGCAGCAGCAGCAGCAGCAGCAGCCGCTGCTGCTCCTGCTGCTGCTGCTGCTGCAGCAAAGCCTGTTCTTCTTTGACACTTCGTGCTTTCAGCTGACGAAGGCGTTGGGGCTGAGGAAGCCTTTTGGAGCAGCCTTGCTGCAGCACGCAGCAGCCCTGCCTAGCAGCAGCAGCAGCAGCAGCAGCAGTG